CTGAGGTTTTGGGTGCCGGGCGACACGCCATGGAGAGCACGGCGAGGTCGTCAGGGAGTTCGGCAACAGGAACTTCTTCACTGCCGGCTTCGAGGGCAACCAAGGGAAAAGGCCACAATGGCCAAGATGATGGCCAGCCTGGCCATGGAAAGGGCCAAGGAGGTCACTACAAAGGCCAACAAGGCCAGATGGATGGTCAGCCTGACCAAAAAGGAAAGGGCACTGGCAAGGTGTCTGAACGTGGTAGGGTAGCAATGATGAGCCCTACAACCACAGCCATTTGGGCTGGAATAGAACCCCAACAGCTTGGACCAGTTCAACAACGTGGACAAGCAGCAATGGAAACAAGAGTGATGAGGGGTAGTCGCTTTGGGTTTGAGTACGTGCCGATCCGCAACTATGATCCACGTCTTCGAGAACCAGAACCACAAGAGCGACCTCCAAGACCACCAGCGCAGCAGGTGGATGAAACGCAGTCTGATGGGAGCTATGAGTTGGTTTCAGAGGCTGTGGATGAGGAGCAGCCCCCACAGACTGAAAGGCAAGTGCAGTTGGAGGGCAAGCACGGTGCAATGGCTATGCCCCCACCAGGTGGAGATGGAGATGATCCTGGCCGAGATCGTCGAAATCGACGAGAACCAGAACGAGACCATGGGCCGGATCCTCCAGCGGATGATGAAGATGAAGATGAAGAAGAACGTCCACGCAGAACATGCACAACCCTGGATGTCAAGAGGCAAAGAATGGCTTGGGCGCGACCCCCTGGATACTGGTTTCGGGGACGTGGCAGAGGCACCAAGCAGGACGTGGAGACTGGCAAGGATGGGTCAACGATCATCCATGGGGCGCTCAGTCCAAACCTGTCCTGGCAAAGGATCTTCGCCAAGGGTTGTCGACCCCGCCAGCTCTTCACACATGACCAAGGAGGAAAAGGTTCAGCGCAGGCAGCTCCGGTGCTGATGGGGCGTCTGGCGACGGCCAATGCAAAGGCGGTCCAGGCGTTGCGCACAGCCGACCAGGTGAATGTTACCAGCGAGGACTCCAATGAGGTGGCTCTGACGGTGGAGGCAGCTACAGCAGCGGTGGACTACGCTGCGGATGTTCAGGAGATGACGGAAAGCGGCACCACCCCAGGCCAAGCTGGCAGCAGCAGCAGTAGAAGTCGCACCTCTGTCGCACGACTTGGAAAAGGCAAACCAGCCACCAATGACGAGCTGCAGGTCCACTACGCAGCGAAGGGCAAAGCGAAAGGCAGTGAAGCCTTGGAGCCTTTTGCAGATGGTTTGCATGAGGATGGCGGCGAGACTGCGGAGGAAGAGGCCTCTGAGAATGACATGGAGGTCATCCCTGAAGAGGACGAGGGTGATGGCGATGATGGTGGAGGTGATGATGGTGGAGCCGAAGAGCCTGCAACAGACCCACCAGCAGCTACCACAGCAACCGAGGTGGCAATCACTTCGACCACTGCGGGTGACCCAGCGAATGTTGAGGAAGAGGTCAACGCAGAGCCAGAGAACGTTGAAGAAGAGGTCCATGTGGAGCAGGACACAGAGGTTGGAAATGCGCGCCCTTCAAGGGTGGTGCGCAACGACCCGGAGCATGAGATGGCGCCGATGGTCCCAGGAAGTTTGGGGCAACAGATGCGGGCAAAGGCAAGTTTTGGCATGGCACCAGCACCGCCAGCGCAGCATGTACAGCAGGTGATGACAGCGCTGATGCAGGGCCAAACAATCCCTTTGACGTATGGACGTTGGGTCCAGTGGGATCAGACCAGTTGGGTTGGATCCATGCAGACCTACAGATATGGCGTGCTCAATGGCTTGCAGGTGGAGATGGATTTCGCGCAGGTGGGCTTGATGCTTCGCAGGACAGTGGTTCCTGGAGTGACGCATTCACTTGCGCTCCAGGGAAATGTCATGGCTGTGCCAAAGACTGGCTTGACAAGAGATGGCACAGAAGAAGAGGAGGCTGACCCGGGAGTTCCTTTTGAGCACGGAATGGTTCAGCCTGGCAAAAAGCCTCCCCCTGCAGCTTGGTTTCAGCAACAGAACATGCAGGACTGGATGAACCGCATGGCCAAGCCACCAGCAGTTCCTGTGCACCACGCAATGCCAGGACCACCACCAGCGGGCCCACCACCTCATGTGATGGCGGGACCACCTCCAACAGGTCCACCTCCTGGCAAGGCAATGCCAAGGGCGACTCAGACCTATGTGCCTGGACCTCCACAAGTACAACCACCAATAGCTGCTCCGATGCAACAGCGACCGCAATGGCACGCAGGTTATGGTGGAGATCAAGGTGGCAGCTTGGGGCCACCACAACAACAAATGATGGAAGAGCCTAGTCGGAGGGCAACGTTGTCTCACATGTTGCGTATGACTGGTGAACTTCGAGCAGAACAAGGAGTTCAGCCAGCCAAAGCTGCAGCGGACTTGGGTCTGCGATCGGTGTTGCGACCACAAATGACAACATCGAAAGCTGCAGCAAGTTCCACAAACGTTTATGTGGAGCGCCGAGAAGAGTCTGCCGATAGGGTCACGGTGAGATCCGATTCACCGGCCCAGTCAGTGACTTCGAGCTCTACGGCATGATCCATGAGGAGCGCAATTTTGAAAAGATGCTCTTTTGAGAGCCGGACATTTTTCCTTTGGCAGAGTCTTTACTGCCGATAGATCAGCCGCGGTGTGAGTCTTTACATGCCAAGGTTGACTTCGAAAAGTGCGAGTCTTTACGCACTGTAGGTTTTTCAGATTTTAAGACCAGTAGAGCCTAACAACCACCTGGCATCACTGGCAAATCTAATCTTAAGAGCCTTGAGCCCTGTAAAGAGCCTGCCGAACATAAGGCACGAAAACTCCCTTTTATGCACGACAAAGTCGTGGGGGGAGTGCAAAAGGGTTGATGTGCATGCATGTACAATAGGGTATGTGTAGGATCTGGTCTTATCACTGCTTGACAGGTGAAGTATCTGTTCTTATCAGTGTGACGACTGGAGGCTCTTTTAGGATCAAAAGGCGCGCTGCTCTGCCTTGCACAAGATGAAAGAGAGAGAGAGAGAGATAGATCGATAGATAGATAGATACATAGAAGATAGATAGGTAGGTAGGTAGATAGTCAGAGAAAGAGCGAAAAAAAGTGGGAGACCTCAAGCACCTTTCGGTCCATCAGTGGATTCACTCTGCCATCCTTGATTCACAACAACCAACCTCTCCTATAGGTTTCCTATTTTTGAAACTTCCGCCACCGCCTTGTGCGGTACTACTGGTACATTCTATAAATGGGGTTTTGTTAGTACTTATAACTGGTAAAGGGCCATAGCTGTGATCATGCCACATTGATAATAGAGCATCCATATGATTTTTGACAAATTTGAATAGGAGAACGCGAACATGAATATACTAGGCAAGGATTGGAATAATACCTGATTTTGCAACACTGGAATGTGGAAAACGCAAAAAAACACACGCACCATACCTATATGTGTTCATATTTTTGATAGATGTGCCATGTTTATCTTTTCATACACCTAGACCTTAAAATATGGTGTTTCGTTTTGGGTTTCTCCCACATTCCACTACTTTACCCGTGCCCTCAGCAGTACAGGGCATTGATAGAAACTGGTACTGGGATCCATTGGTTATGACCATGATTCAACATTGCTAATTGACATTAACCTTTGGCCACAGCGTATAGCAAATAGATCCAATTATTTAAGTATGATTTTGCCAAGCACCACATGTGTCATAGAATTTCCGTTTCAATGGCGATAATTTACTCAATTTGGACAAGGAAAGTGGCGTTGTTTTAATGAAGAGTGTACTTTTACTATCTATATACTGCCCGATTCCCATTGATACCCAGTTTTTGCGATTTAACCATACATGATCACTGCCAAAATACTGGGAACGATTCTACTCAAATTCCAAGTGCATATTGCATAACATCATTACCAATATTTTTTTTAAAGAGATACAGTGCTGCTATTACCCCTGCCAATTATTTGCTAATTTTACCATAGTCAGCAAATGTCAGCAACATGTTTGTTTTACTAATAGCACTGATTTTACCAAGTACCAATCATACCAATAGATCACCAGACCCGGTAGTTTTATCACTAGCACTGCAGATAGTATACCCAGCTAGTTCCTGGGACTTTTTGGTTTCTTTGGACGACTCAAATGGGGTAGTGGATCACGGTTTTGAGCCACCACAAAATGCTGAGTGGCTAAAATGGAAAAAAAAACTCGATTCCAAAAAACACATCCGATCATGTCCAAAACAATGTTCTTGCCAAAACAGATGAAAAAATGCAGGCCCTGAAGACGTAGGCATGAACAATCTGACCAAACACTCAATATTGCAACAGTCCAAAATCAAGCTTTGTTCCCAGCTGTAAAGTGATGCCTTGTCAAGATTTTGAACCCCAAACCAACTGATTCCACTCATCGTGAATTCCAAGTTGCCACTGAACTGCGGCCGTGTGGCTTCCAGATGGCGGACCTGCAACGGGACGTCGACAACTTGATTGCGGAGTTAGGTCCCGATGATGCAAGGGCAGCGCTAGCAGCACATGGCTTGGCGTCGGCGGCAGCTGGCTTCCGCATTTTTTCCCGCAAATCAAACCACTGAAAGCTGCTGACATCCTCGACTCATTTGGTTCGCTGCTGGCAAAAGCAGCATTTTCGTGAAGTCATCATCGTTTCAGCAATTTTCAGCTCTCCGGAAAAATGGTTGGAATCTCCATTGAGCCACCGGTAAGTTAGCCGACCTGGTAAACGTTTACAAAAAACGAACTGGAAAGATCCACCATTTTTCAATTGGAAAATCCACTATTTCGACTGGGCCATTTTCAATAGCTATGTTAGATAAATATTACCAGTATAATTACATATAGATTATCCATATATTAACCATAGATTATCCATAGATTATCCATGTTAAATTACCAGAGGGTACTGATGTTTTCCCATTGATTTCACCATGGTCCGACTGCTGAGGCGCATGGTGGACAGCCCCGATAGCGGGACCCGCAGGGGCTCGTGGGGCTTGTACCTTGGCTCGCCTTGGCTCGGGCGCAGCAGATGTCCATGATATAAAGATGAAAGGGAGATGATTATGAGGATATATAACTATATATATATAGATACTATAGATATAGGGATTTATACAGGGATACTAAAGTAGTTTTTGATATTTTCAAATAAGATCATATGTACATATATATATATATTATATGTAAAGGAAGTACCAAAAAACGATTCTAGAAAAAACATGTGATAATATCTAGTAGTGAAATTTGAAAATTTGGTGATTATAAGTAGACTCAGAAGATTATAATGGGGATGTCATATGATATCACGAGATACAATGGAGTACAATGGGATCTTGATAATAGTTGCTATTGTGTTAAACTTCAACCCGCACTAGTTGGGCAGAAAACGTCATCACTGGTAGGGGAAATTTGACAATTCATGTGAATGGGAGTTTGTCCAAAACGAGGAAACGTAATTAATCAAGATGGCAACTATTGCGGCATATAGCTAGTGGATATAAACATACTGAACAGGATATAATGATATAATCATCGATGTGGAGTTGGCCCAAACATCGGAGATTTATGTACACTTTATGGCTGGAGGGAATCAGAGTTGAAACTACTATAGCAATATATAGCAATTGAGATTTTACGGCTTGTTCCCGATCTCTCCTTTGAGAAAGCTAAATTGTTTAACCGGAAGACAATGGAACCCATGTCCAGGGGCGCCAGGCACCAGGCATGTTTTGCAACTTTGTTTCGGTGTGCTCACAGGTTCCATCACCAGTTCACACCAGCTCGACCTGATCTGTTTTTTTCTACCTTTAGTTTGAAGGATGCTCAGATGCGCCATGTTTCTGGTCTGTCCCATTGTGAATTTTGGACACATCCATCATAGTTTCTCGGTGGAATGGTTTGATACCAGTTACCCTCTGGTAAACTAACATAACTATTGAAATTCACCATGATTAATCGGAGAATTCATTATAAATGGTCATTTTCCATAGCTATGTTGACATAACCAGAGGGTAATATCAGTTAATATTAAGGACCATTATTCAAACTGATAATATTAGTTTTAATTATCCTTGGTAATAATGGTCCTTAATATTAACTGATATTATACTTGGTGAATGTTGTTTGATAATCAGTTTTAGTTTACAGTTTCATTGTCAAACAACATCCACCAAGCATTAAAAATAAGTTAAGCCATGATCACCTCCACAGAATCCTCCAACATGTATAAATCCACTAGAAACCATTTAAAAAAATATTTGCTATAATCTGCTATAAGCCACTAAAACACATATATTTATAGTGGATTTTTAAATCCAGATATAAATCTATAATAATCCATAGATACATATATATAAATCCACTATAAACAATACAAAACTTCAAACAAAGCCAGCAAACCCAGTACCCGACATGCCGTCAGGTGGAGTCGCCTCAGTGGCCGCTTCACCCGGGATGAGACGGAGGACGTTTCTTCGAAAATGTCAGCGAATGATGACTGGTATTTCAAGGGCCATAGTTGGTTTATAGATGATATATCTACAGTTTTCATGGGTTATAAACCAACTTATAACTTGGGGGGCACCACCTTGTAGGGCCATAGTTTTTTTTCTTAATGTCGTTGTTTTAGCCACGAAGAAAATGTTATCCAATCTGATTTTACTTTGAATAGTCTCATGATTTCTATTGAAAAAGTGGTTAGTCTCTGGTAAACAACAGTTTGCGAACTGGAATGTGACCATTTTGATTCGCTAAATCAGTATTCGTAGATGGTACATGTTCCATAGTAGTATCTACCAAGCAGTTTGATATATCTACCATAAACATCCATATAAAAGCCAATCCGCAACCGTTTGCTATACACCAACTCAGCTATCTCTGTGGCTCTACATCGTATGGGTTGGTAATGGGATTTGACGTGGTGACCTGGCGACCTTGGGGGATGAGCGGATGTTAAAGGGAATAATATATTGGATATTGATATCCACTAACATTATCCCAGTTAATGGGATGTTAAGAGGATAATATGTCAATGTTAATTAGGTTATTAAAGTTGATTGATGAGATCTGAACCCAGTGTTATAGGATAACAATTATCTATGGCGAGATCTGGATCATTTTCATCACATCATCACAATTTCAAATTGTAGATGCTTGTCTGGTTGGTGGTTTGGAACATGTTTTCGTTTTTTTTTCCCATTCAGTTGGGAATTTCATAATCCTAACTGACTCATATTTTTAAGAGGGGTTGGTTGAAACCACCAACCAGATATATACATAATTACATATATATATATATATTAACCATCATCGATCATATAATACCCATATATGAACCATTATTAACAGTATATTAGCCACATATTAACCACCAACCAGTAGCCCAGTAGCCCAGTAGCCCCAGGCCCTTGCTGCGTTTGAGCATTCCAGGCATTGATGGAATTGTACCATAGCAACGGCCCACTGAAGAAAAAGAAAAACACAGGAACTGACAAATAGCCCAAAATATTGCCTGAAATATGGTACTAACGTACCTCCAGATTAGGATCCTGGATTTCTCTGACAAAACAGGAAGATCTCCAAAAGCATAAATATTTGGCAAACAAAGCAGGTCTAAAAAGCATAGTTTGCAATACAACCAGCAAATATATCAAGAAATAAGACAGCAGCATGACCAAAAGACAAGTGGGTTTGTCGAAACCACAGGGTACGCCATTCCATCGTTCATTGTCATCGAGTCATACAAGGTGGTGCCCCCAAGTTATGTTAGTTGGTTTATAATCCCATGAAAACTCTAGATATATCACCAACAAAAACCCTAGTTATGGTGTTCCAACAATATTTCGAGATTTACTCTCGTGAAATCTAACCTGGGCCAAAAATAAAAATAAAAAAAAATATCCCGCTACGTTAGCGTTCGGGATTTCCCGTTGAACAGTGCTAACATAGCAGCTGAAATCTTGCATGTTCATGGGGTGATTTTGATACTAACCTGACACCTGCCGCGCCTCCATCAGCACAAATTCCCAAAAGTGTCAAGTTAGTGTTCGTGCTGTGTTTGGGAACATGGCGAATACTCCAAAGCTGGAACCACCAAATGGAAGGTGCCATGTTTGACTGGCACAACTGTTTTTGCATATCTTCCTGGGGCTCACTCTTACTGGACCCAAAAAAGCTTCAAAACGAACAGTTTTACATAATAGATTGAATAAGGAAAAAACTCCTGGTCGATGTTGCCAATCTGGCTCCTTGCTGCCATGATGATTATGATGTACTATTGGAGGTTTTGGGAACCCTGGGCAAATGCTATGTTAGCAATCCTGTTGCCAAAACTTTGGTTTAGATTCAAAATCATGACTGGCACAACTGTTTTTGCATGTCTTCCTGGGGCTCACCCTTACTGGACCCAAAACAGCTTCAAAACGAACAATTTTACATAATAGATTGAATAAGGAGAAAACTCCTGGTCGATGTTGCCAATCTGGCTCCTTGCTGCCATGATGATTATGATGTACTATTGGAAGTTTTGGGAACCCTGGGCAAATGCTATGTTAGCAATCCTGTTGCCAAAATTCTGGTTTGGATTGAAAATCATGACTGGCACAACTGTTTTTGCATGTCTTCCTGGGGCTCACCCTTACTGGACCCAAAAAAGCTTCAAAACGAACAGTTTTTCATAATAGATTGAATAAGGAAAAAACTCGTGGTCGATGTTGCCAATCTGGCTCCTGCTGCCATGATGATTATGATGTACTATTGGAGGTTTTGGGAACCCTGGGCAAATGCTATGTTAGCAATCCTGTTGCCAAAACTCTGGTTTGGATTGAAAATCATGACTGGCACAACTGTTTTTGCATGTCTTCCCGCGGCTCACCCTTACTGGACCCAAAAAAGCTTCAAAACGAACAGTTTTACATAATAGATTGAACAAGGAAACAATGTGCCATGGGGATGATGTGCCTTTTCCCGCCTGATGTGACTTAAGTGCGGCGCTCGTATGTGCTTAACATAGCATCTCCAGAACTTTGCCAGGTCGAATAAATGGAATGAGCTATGGGGAAACAATGAGCACCTAACATAGCAGCTGTACAACATGTTCAAGAACAAGTTTTCATAGTGCCGTGAGGGGTATGGAGATGTTTTCTGATTTTTTCTGAGCAAAATCGATGCTAACATAGCATTTCTGCCTTCCAGGATTCTAGCTAGGTCAGTCTCTTTCAGGTGCCAGGTTAGCACCCATCGCAGGTTTTTGATCTCCATTTCCTGGGGAATGCACAAATTATTCCCACAACGGCGCCGGATGCTATGTTAATGAGTTGGTGCCCAACGGGCCCAAAATCTACCTATCTCCTTTTCCCCAGGCCGCACAACGGTACCGGATGCTATGTTAATGAGCCGGTGCCAGAGCTGATCTATGCTATGTTAAATTTCGTGGGTGTAACCCTATAAACCCTAGATATATCACCTAAAACCTATCCCATTAACCCTATAAACCCTAGATATTTCGAGATTTTCACCCAGTTCTTTCAACACACCTTTTCGTCGTCACCCTGTCGTTTTGTAGTTTTGCACTCCGGTGGCCATACCTCGGTGGTTGGAATATATCAACATATCAGCATTAGTTGTTGATAATTGATAGTTGATATTGGTATAGTATATTTCCCTTTCATATATATATAATTACATATATGTATATATATATATATATCAGGAATAGTTATGATGATTGATAGTTGGTAATGTCAACCCTGGATTAATAAACCCCGTTTACGGCTGTTTAATTGGGAAAGTACCATAAAAAAGTATCAAATCATGACGAAATGGGGGGAATACCTCCCTAATTAAACCATGGTTTACTCATCCGGGGTTGACATTAGCTGGTGATAATATTTTAATATACTCACATCACTAGTTGACATTAGTTGATATATGTATATATTACTGTATGATATCAACTTGGATAATAATTGATAACTATAGTCATTGATGCTATAGTGGATATACCCCCTGGTGATTTAACATAACTATGCAAAATCACCATTTTTCATGGGACATGTCACTATAAATGGTGATGTTCCATAGCTATGTTATAAATGGTGATTTTCCATAGTTATGGTTATATAAAGTTATATAAGTTATATTATATATATAGATAGATATATATATATGATAACCATAAACTATGGTTTTTGTTGGTGATATATCGAACTAGTTTTCATGGGATTATAAACCAACAAACATAACTTGGGGGGCACCACCTTGTACCTATATACTGCACTATTCCCATTGATACCCAGTTTTTGCGATTTAATCATACATGATCACTGCCAAAGTACTGGGAACGATTCTACTCAAATTCCTACCCATTAGATATTAGTATTACCAATATATCAATAATCTTTACCCATTTATTAGTATTATACTAATCCTACCCATTCTACTAATTAGTTGATATATCAACCCTTAGGCCCTCTTCGCTTCCAGGAGCCCTTGGCCCCTGAGCTGGCGGAGGCCTCCGCCGAGGCGGCCTTGGCGCTGGGCGCCGAAGCGTTGCTCGGCGATGAGTTTTGATGGATCCTTAGTGGATGGGATGCAAAGCAACTAGAAATGATGGGAAAATATGGTTTTAATGGGATTTCCATGGGATTTTATGGTGATTTCATGGTGTTTAATGGGATTAATGGGATTTCATGGTGATTTGATGGGATTAATATGGGTTTCTTATGGATCCTTAGTGGATCTTGGGAGATGTTGATGGGATATGATGGGATTTTATGGAATCCAATGGTTGATGGAACTCATTTAAAACCCATGATTCAATGGTCAGCCTAATGTGTGATTAATCAAGAAACCGAAATCATTTTTTGTGGATCCCAAATTGGGATATGTTGAGATATTGGAATCTTGATGCTTGATGGTTATATTGGTGATTTAATGGTGTTTAATGGGATTTCCATGGGATTTTCTGGTGATTTTATGGTAAAAAATGATGATTTCTGGATTTCAGGAGATTTTTTGGGATACATCATCAACTTGATAGCATGCGATCGTTGATTTCATCGTATTTTTCTCTAGTATCAACTCGTTTGGCCCTGGCATGTTGCAACATGTCCCTGATTCCAGATTGGTGCCACAATTTCAGGCTGGTCATCATCTTTTCCAATTCAGCCAAAGGGTACTGTAATGTACGTTTACATCTACATTCATATATAGTTGTTCCAATGTTTTGGGTTATTTTAACAAACATATTTATATATCCTACATGGACGGTGAATTGCACCTCTTTCATCTCAACATCCCCAATCTAATGTTGTTTTAATGATTTAAATGTTTTTGTTCTAAATGTTTAATGATTTAAATGGTTTTGTTCCAATGATCAAATTCCCACATGATCCCATATGTAATGGCAAAAAAACACGTTCAATTCCCCTGAAGTGATGATAAATGCAGTTTTATTGTTAAGCCGCCATGTTAAACCTAACTTCCAACGATCAAATCCGTTTAAGTGTTAGTTAAATCCATGTGTTGAATTGTTACCCTCTGGTAATTTAACATAGTTATGGAAAATCACCATTTTTAATAGGTACATCAACTATAAATGGGCCATGTTCCATAGCTATGTTAAATTACCAGACGGTAATTCCCAAGTTGTTGCTTGCTGAGTATCCCTTTTCAATAGTTGCATCCCATCTTTGAGAATAACTCCATGAAACATCCAACATGTTCAGTGGTGAAATGCCAATTTACACTGGTTAGATCCAATTGCGTATCAGTTTAATAGAACAAACATATGTCCAATGATTATATAAATGGATGAGTTCCCACATTTTTTAATGGTCAAATCCCATATTTCACATCCATCCGACCTGCCCAGTCTCATCCTAGGCATTGCATGGATGGCTTGAGCTACGACCCACGGCTGGTCGTCTTCGAGTTCATTTCCCGCTTGGTGCTGCGCAAGAAGCAGGTCGGCACGGCACGGCGCGGGGCAGGGGCACTGGTACTGTCCACGGGTAAAAACCATTGGTTCATAGGGGTTTCATTTAAATGGAGGTTTCCTGCAATGGGGGTAATTATGATTAAAAAGGATGATTTGGGGGTAACCCTATTTTAGGAAACCTCCAAATGGTGATTAGTGAATAACCCTCTGGTTATTCATATTCTTGCTGAAATTGGCCATGGAAATACTTGGTAGAACATAGAAGTACATAAATGGGCCATGGTTTCCTTAGCAAACTGTTCAATTTTAGAGGTGACCACTGATTGGGAATGTCTTTGATTTTCGAGAAATACTTGAAATGAATAGACACCACAATAGAATTCCAGTTTTGGGGGTTGAGCATGGACCAAGTTGAGATTGGATCACCAACTCAAAGACAAGCCAACTAGCCTTTTTTTTTAGTGTGAGAGACTAATTGTCACTGATAAAACAATCTTCCTGGTGGCTCTGTCTTAAGCATGTGCCATGGTCATCCATGGTTACATGTAGCTGATGTTCCCATGAAATAAGATGTTCATCCCCCAATACAAGAAACAGGGCTTGATCTACAAACAGTGCCTGATCTACCCATTGTTCATTGATATTCATTGAGAAACTGAACTAAATTCTGAAGTTGATTATTATGGCACTAAATTGAAATTTGAAACAGGAACAACTAAATTGATATTATCACCAAAAAATGGTTGATCTATCCATTGATTCTTTCCCACTGGAGATTTTTTTGATGTTGGGATGACCAGGTTGCCCTGGTGAGGGCCATGCAAAATGCAGTGCAGGACTGGAACGGATGGGGGTTGCCACTTGGGTTTGTCTAAAAGGGGGGGTTAGCCAAAAGGTCTGCTAATTTTCATGGGAAATCATGGGAAAGTGCAGTTCTAAAAATTCTAAGCCAGCAAATGTTGGGGTACTGTACACCACATTTACATGTGCAATCTATATGATCGAATATCCACATTTACTGTAACATAGATTGCTTTTGTCAGCATCCCATACTCGGATATGGAGGGTTGAAAGTCGGACATGCACGATCCCAGTGCAACAACTTCCTGGGCATTTTCATTTCGTAGAGAATCAACTATCATAATCTTCGGACATATTCTGACCACATTATAGGTTTGCTTTCATAGGTGATCACCAGTGTATTTGCCAACATGGGGATAGTTCTAATAAGTTCCAGCATGCTCCATTGTCTCGAAATATTTTTTTTGCTTATGTGGATCCTTGCGCATTCTTACTTTTTACCATAAGCGTAAGATAAATAGACCAATCTACCACTATATGTGGCAATTTTTAGGCTTCAAACAATTGCCTTGCTCATGGTTTTGGTACGACATTGTCAGACTTCGTTATAGTTTAGCAGTGTAAGTGTTTATCCCGAAGCATGCCTGGAGATCCCCAAGTTGGTCAAACCATTGCGGTTAGGCTCGCACTGCATTCGCTGACATCCAAACTACAACTTCTCAAAGCTGCAGATGAACTGTCGATGTTCAGTGAACATATTCTTCCCCAAGCGGATCAAGTCTTTCTTTCTTGCAGGTGAAGCAATTTGAAGGCAACCTGACGACATTGCCGAGGCGGGGACGCAACGGTTGCACTGGTGGAGGATGGCCACGCCGCTGCAGTTCAAGAAGTCTTGGCAAACGCTGATGAGGGCTCTGCAATGTTGAACATCGCTGTGCTCACAAAGATCTTTTGGTGGATCACGAACCACCATACTCGACTTGGTGGCCAGTCCTATCTCAAACCGAGCCCCTTCCAATTCTATAGAGGGATATAGACGGGATTTTCCCACGACAGCTGTAGGGGTCAATCTTATAGAGAGGCTTGAATGATATCTTCATGTTCCCTGCAACCCCCTCCTTCACATCTCAAGGAAGGATCTCCACATTTTGTCAGGCTTATTTCGCAGTGTTTTGTTTGCTTTTGTTCATTTAGGCTTTGGTTGTACGTTTTGGATCGTTGCAGGTTGTGAGGTTTCTAGGGTTGGAGATTGGGATTGTTAGGGTTGCGCTTGCAGGGTTCGGGGCTTAAATTGTCCTGCAGAAGTTTCTTGTTGTGCAAACATGGCCAGGGTGACTGGTGCGCAAAACTATACTTTATTTGGGTTGCAGCGTTCATGTTTTGGTTAAGAGTTAAGAGTTTATAGTTTAAACATGATCGGTTGTGATGGATTTTGACCCACTATAAGATTGTCAAAATTGAAGCCCTGACCTCAAACATTGGCAATGCATTTAGATTCTCTTAGAAATCGAGTGACCAGCTTACAGTGTGGGAATAACTGTGAGGAATGAATTGTTTTCTGTAATGGGGGCATCTCAAAACGTATGGAAACATGACCTGTTATACATCCATTTGGATTTTTTTCTCTATACCGCCTATTTATGGTGATTTGGGGGATGGTTTATCATTGTTTTATCCACACAGGAATTTCTTTGGGGTCAAGTAGGTCAAGTCCAAGCGGGATCCACAAGTCATCCCTCTCTCGTTGTTTAGAAAGTCACGCCGAGTGAAATCTGAAATCCATCGTTTATGCTGGTCAAACATATCGATGTTGAATAGTGTATAGAAGATTAGAAGTATAGAGCTAAATCCCAATGTTCAATAGGTTTGACAAAATATTTGTTGAATCATTACATGTTTTTGGTTGCATTAGGTTAAATCAATATATTTGCTGATTTTGTTGATCAACTTATCCATCAGATGTGCACCTCGGTCACCTCAACGTCAGGACGGAAAACCTTTGGTGCATCAGATGCTCATGGGCGGCTTGACCGCGGATGGGGGCAGATTTTGGAAATTTTGGGGTCGGAAGATATTGGAAGCAGAAAATGTAAGCTATAGCTAGAAGGTTTCTAACTACCATGATCTTTGATGATTTTTGGCAGTGGGCTTATATCGGCGGATTCAAGATATACATTGGAGATTCTAGAACCAAAGATATGGATGAAATCAATGAGTAATTTGATATAGATGTCGGTCAGACCCGGAAACCAAAGGAACGTGTCCTCTACATGGAGGGTAGTTGTATCATGTTGGATCCGAAATAACTTTCCGAACTCATGGGTTGCGAATACCAGAATGGAAACCTCGTCAAGGTGCATGAAGCACAACGGTCAAAGCTTCATTTTCAAGTTTAAATTCCAATTGCTTCATTGCTTCATGTCAAAATCTCCATTGCTCTGTTTCAACTCCCAATTGTGTACTGGTTGGTGGTTTGGATGTTCTTTACTAGTGTATTAACAGTATATTAACCACATAATAACCATATATTAACCACCAACCAGTGTATTGGTTGCATCAAAACTTGATCCAACCAACATCCCCACATTTGCCGCCGCACTCCGACACGGAAAAAAGGTGAAGGGAAGACCACGGTGGTGACGCCTTTGGTGATCCTTCTGCATGGCAGCGCCACGAGGCGAGGCTTTCCATCAATGGGGCTTCTCCAATAGCTGGATGGTTTATGATGGAAAATCTCATCAAAATATATGGGTATGGGTCAATACCTATAGATACATTTTTAGTGGGATGAACATCCATTTACTAGCTATTTTGGGGTTCACTAGGTACCAGGGTTTTGACCCATCCCCATATTAAAATGGATGATGACTGGGGGTAGTCTTAGGAAACCTCCTCATATTCCCTTCCAAATCCTGAAGATTGTTCATGTTTTTTTGTTGGAAGATGTCTGGAAAACCAATCCCAAGACTGTTCTATTTCCGTCCATGATCCATTGTTTGCGCCCAAGAGATAGACAACTACGAAGTCCCCTGTTTTTTTGGGATTCGGACGGTTCATGTATATGGTATATTATGAATTATATATCATGAATTTTATTTTAAAGATATGATTCAATATTTTTTTGTAAAACATCGTCCGTGGTAAGGATAGGATTCAGGGTTGATGTACGACGAAATTATTTGCTTGCAGAAGATCAGATGTGGTTTTGTATGATTATGTAAGATGTTTGGGCTTGAAAGTTCTTTCCCCCAAGTCAGCTGCACAAGCATATGCATGTGAGGCGAAGCATGCGTGAATGTGGAAATGAATGGTATCATTTTCTTGACTTTGCTTACATACAATTTTCTTGACCTTGCTTATATACATTTGTTCAATGATTGAAGCACAAGGTAGTTCCCTTGGAGGACCGTGGAGGACGGCTTGTCATTGGCACCGTGGAGGACGGCTTCGCCTGCTTCGCCTTGCGCCTCCAGAGGCCCATGCCAAGCTACCTCGTGAGCCAGACGGGAGTGAACGCCTTATGCCTTGCTCGGGATGGTCTACACCAGTGTATCTCCAACATGGTGGCCTTCAGAGTTGGTCCAGTTTAGTGCTTCTTGCATCAGATCGCTTCGGGCAACCATCGCGAACTTCTGGCAACATTGTGGCTTCACGCCCACGAAGCCAGCATTGCCATCTTAGATTGCCGGGGAGTAGTTCTTAGATGTCCCAGTTAGGAAGTGGTTTATTATACCCCTTTTGATCTATTTGCAGGTGTCCTAAATTGGGGGTACCCCGACAACTGGATGGTTTATTTCATGAAAAATAGGTTTAAAATGGATTTGAAATGGTGGTACCCCCATTTTCTTGGAAACCTATCATACTAAATGTACGTATATAAATCATATAAATCAGTAACTTACTGGTATTAAACCGAATTGAGGTACCATTTTGTTGGACACGTCCATTTTTGTTGGTCAAATCACCATTTACCAATGGTTCAATCCATGCACCGGTGCCACAGGGCCTGTGTGGTCTGTGTGCCACAAGCCTTGACGGAGTTCACCTGCCGAGTGTTGCGGGACAGCTGGCGAGCGCAGAAATGGGGGATGGGTGGAGAGATGGGTGGTTGCACCATGAAAAAAGATTTTCGAGGAGCTTGGATGGGTATAGTTTATTTAATCCATATAATCATATAATATCCATAATCTGTTGCTATATATATAATATAATTAGCCATAAATTTAGTTTCTTATATTACTGATTGCTAAAATATAACAATATCTACTGATAGCCATCTGAGAATTGAGTTTCTTGCAGGCTATCGATTTGACCAACCGAGATTTCACCGTTGGTGGTTGGCGGCTTGTTCACCACGAGAAAATGGTGATTCACCAACTTTATAAAGGGTGATTTCACCAGCAAGTTGAGATAGACATGGTATTTTTAATGGTATGAAATGGTACTTGCCGGGTGAATTGGATCCAGCAATGGCTAATATGTATGGTTGATTTAGCATAGCATTGGAAGCTCACAGCGCCTTGAAGTCGAGACCATCCTGAAGCTAGTGGTGAAAGCTGTTCTGCGCCGGCAAAGCAGCTGTCTCTTGTCAGGCATTCGCATTCCCAAAGAACATAGAGCTTCTCATGAAATTCCTCCTCGACAATTCGGTGAATGAAAGGAGAAGATGACCCAGCAGATGGCCACGGCAATGTTTGCCTTGCGCACAGGCGGATGGCAAGTTGGAGGTGATTGGTTATTTAGCCAAGGGTTTTTGCTGATCATTTTGGGGGAAACACACCAAGGTTCCTTGTTCAAGTTGCCACTTGGGTGACGCCATTTCAGACCAACTCAAACGCCTTGAAGCAAACGATGGAAATCGACCTTATTAAAAAAAAAAAAACTGTACACCTACAGCTACATAGACTTTGATTGCCAACAAGTATCGAGATCAATCCCGCTCTAGTCACCATCCACTTGTTTGTTCTTTTGACACTGGAAGCTTTTGGGAACTGATAAGGTGACATAGCCGTATCACCAAAGAAGTAGCACCATTCAGCACACAATTTACCGTAGCACAGGGGTTTAAGCAATTTACAGATATACCCATACCACCGAAGAAGTAGGGACACAATTTCAATTCAGCACCATTCAGCAACAAGAAACAGTAGCAAACAATGGGAGCAACCGAAGTTCATGGCAGGTACTCTTGTTTCTGTTTCATTTCAACACCCAAACATATCCCAATTCATTACCATACTGTGGATGGTTGCGAAATTCTGCACCAGTTGGTAGACGGTTTATCCTCTTATAATCCCATTATTTACACTGTTTCATGTTTCATAGTTACCAATAGTTACCCTGGCTGGTGATTCGGATTTCGTGTTGCCATCCACAGTTTGGGATGTCATGCGGCTTTGGAAAACTACTGTCAGAGCAAACGTTCCAAGCCCTTTTGTTTGAGGTTTCGATCTCAAGGTTTTGTTGGTTCCCGACATGACTCTTGATTTTCGACTATGGCATGGAATTTCCAAAGAAGAGCTAGCTGTATTGAGCAGACTGAGGTACTCTTCACGTATTTTTTTTGTAAGGATTTTGACATTTCCCGAGGGCACTCCCTGGCAGGAGCGACTCTGTGGAACCCTGGCACGCCCTGTGGTGGAGTTTACCTTCAATCGCGCCACACCGGTGCGGGGGGGGATACATCTGCTTGTGGGGCAGTCTTGGTGAAACATATGCAACATTTGAACCTTAGCTTGTGAGTTGACAAAAACTAGAATGTTTATTCATTCTTTTGGAAGTCGCCACGTGTGTTGAGTTTTATGTTTGATAGAAGTTGCCGACCCCAACACAACTTTTTGGGTGGGTTCAATTAGTTAAAGACGGCAAACAACAAGGGTCGGTTAAACCCGTCACACACTTCCACTGGATCAACCAAATGCTGGTGGCAAAAAGCGTGCTTCAATGCATGGTTTGTACCCAAACTTACTTTACCTCTCGCAATCTAATATATAGCTATGGAACATATCACATATATAAATATGATGTTCCCGTTCAAACCTCCATTTATATATTTTTTCCCATATGTTGCTTTGAATTCCCATGAATTGCAATGTTTCCCCAAATATTCCCATGATTTTGCCATGTTCCCCCCAAATATCTCCCTTTTTTGAAGGGGCGTTCCATGTTCTTTCCCCATTGCCATGTCAGATTTCTTCAGGGCCCAGCTTTTTCCCGCCAGGTTTCCGACGATCATTTCTTCAAGTTGCTGCATGCGCAGGATGCACGCGCTGCCTCTCGGCGGTTGTTGGGGGGTGGAGATGGGAGATAGCCTGAGATTCATGGACCATGAGTCCAATAATGATGGGATATGATGGTTAATAATGGTTAATAATGGTTAATGATGGTTAATAATGGTTAATGATGGTTATTGATGGTTCATAATAATACTACGAATCCTGATGTATTGATGGATATGAGTGGGCAAATGATAGTGATGGTTAAGAATGGATAGTGGTTGATAGTGGATAAGCCCCAAAAGCTGACCCAACAATGGTTGGGTTCATTAAGGGTTTGTGAACCACCAACAACTAGCGGTGGATCCTCATGATTGTGTATGATTGTGTTCGGGCACACTTCTGATTGCTGAAGGCTTCCCAATATTCGATAGTTTTGTTGAGACGTTCCGATGTTGTTCGAGTTTGCGAAGAAACTTACGTCATTGTAATGATACATTGCCCAAACACTCTTTAAACAAAAAAAAAATGTATATAGAAATACACAAAAATAGATACATTTAAACATTGCCCAAATGATATCAGATAAATGCTTCAAAAAAAAATCTATCCCACTGTCCTCGTATGCAGATCTAGCGGGATAGGATCCCATCTTTGACGATGTTAGCTCAAACACAGCCCGAAATATGTCCACATATTTAATCAGGACCGCTAGGGGTTGGAAAAAACAACTGATTTTATCTAAGTTGTTTGTTTATTGTTTAAAAAAAAATTTAGCAGGTAAAGTCTCTTTATTGATCAGATATAAATCCCGCATTCAGAAGGATCATTGCTTAAAGGTACAGACAGAGTGATGAATAACATCCAAAAAACATAGCATAAACTGATTGATCCTGATAAAATGTTTTTTCCAGAGCACTGAAACTAGTGTTTTCACAGTAACCCACATTGAATTTACAGAAAACATGGGACAGATTCAATCAACAGCTAGATTTCACAAGATATTTTGGGAATGTGTTGGAATGTTCTGTCTGTACCTGGATTACCCCGCGCTTGGGTGCTGCGGACCAAACGAGATGATGATATACGTGGATGTCAGCATGGCAGGTGTTGATCTACCCTTCAGCTGGTGTTGCATGCAGCAAGTGCGCGACATGCTGATGAGTACTGCCCGTTGATCGACGCGCAGACTACTTCCCATTGGCTATGCGATTACAGGCAGCAAGTGGAAAGAGGAGCATCCCCGACCGTGAATGGGCATGTGAATCCTTGAGATGGAAGAGAACCATAACCGCAATTAACTAGCCATGACCAGCAAAAGTTCACTTTTTGTTTGGGTAGACTCTCAAAGGTTGACCACGTTCTTTGATTTTGAGAAGATGCAAAGGATGATTTTTTTTTGGGGGTAACTCCATGTATGGAACCCCCCCTAAAAACCGGGTATAGTGATTTGTAATTCGTCTAATATGCTTGGCATAGTTTATAATTCAAAGCCCTGTTCTAGTTTTACTTATTGGATAAAAAAAATATGCCGTGCTATTTATATGTGATTGTTGGTTGCTAATATCTCTATGATTAGCCGCTACTGTCCCACCTGTGAATGACTACCATCCACATGATTAATTGCTATCCCCGTTGTCATTGCTTGCTTTCTCCACATTATTGACAATTTACGTCATGTTTTTTACTGCTTGTTCTTCCAAGTAATCATCAAAATTGTGAGTGCCATGTTTTAAGACCCATCTTCATGACTTAATAATCTATAGTAGTTACTATAGTACTTACTATAGTTACTTGTTATTTACTAGTTATATAATACTAGATTATGCTATTATATCTATTACTATTTGACAGCCAAGTGACACACAAAATTTGTTGCCAAAAACAAAAAAGGCACGTGCCACATCGATTTGACCTTCGTCGCTGATCGGTCTGCAACTGGAGTGTCCATTCGAAAAAAACAAACATCCAGCTATTGATGATGTACTGGTTGGTGGTTTGGAACATGTTTTATTTTCCATAATATATGGGATAATCATCCCAACTGACTTTCATATTTTTCAGAGATGTAGGTATACCACCAACCAGTGTATATATATATACATATTAATATTGATATATTATCATGAGGTATAAGTTAATGTTCAACATGATGATTTATATATTTACTGACTTTATACTTCTTTATACTAGCATATAATGATGATTTACCATAGGTGGACTTTCCACTCTAAACCATGCAGCTATGATCCCGGAAACCTCCAATTCACCAAGTTATATCTTTCTCTTCATGGCCTGGGAGCGCCTGGAACGCGCAACCGGAAGGTCATGGTTTCGGGCCCGACGGCTCTGAAATCCTTGATGCTTCGCTTCGTGTCCGGCACTCTGCGGGTTTTCACCAAACAATAAATGGCAGTGAAGCAAGGGAAATATGGAGGTTTCCTGAAATAGGGGTACCCCTAGTTATCATCCATTTTAATATGTTTTAATGGGATTCTCCATTATTAACCATCAATTTGGGAATACCGCCGCCATCTATGAACATTTCAATATTGCTTTTAGATGGGGTTTGTGTTTTTCGTTCATGGTTCTTAATTGTTTTTTATTGGTTTCAATTTGTCTTAAATGGTGCTAAATGATTTTAAATGGTTTTGAATGATTTTAGATTGTTTTAAATGGTTTTAAATGGTTGTTTACCCATAGAACTAACAAAATTGCTTAGGTTTTAACCAGCCAAAAATTGAGAGTGGAATCTTGTGAGGGCCTTATTTTTTTACAGTGGTTTGCGATGATTTGTTTGATAATCTATGTTTATTTATGCTCATTGTCTCATAGCCTCTAGCCTTTTGTTTTTGATTTGTTTCCTGTTCATATTATATACTTTGTTTCTGTTGCATTGTTGTTTGTTGTATACATTTAATTTGGTTCTGGAAGTTTATATAGAATAGCATTGTGGGGGTGGAGATAGGGCCCATATCCTTCCTTCTACATTTCTATACATTTTTGTTGTTTTCTCTTGCAAGAACATATTATAAATAGACCCATGGCAAGTAGCAGATTCAAGATTTGTATGTTCATATGAATATTCATGAGATAAGCTAAGTAAATTTCTTAAAACAAGCCGCATGCCCTATTGACATCACCATATTAACTTGTTTACGCAGCTGTATTTCTAAGTACGTTGCAGCATCATGGGGCGCAGGAAGTTGCAGATAGCATCTTGGGCAGTGGCTCTTGCAGGACTCGGTCAATGCCATGTGGCAATGATCAGCTGCAAAGGGAGTGCCGTATTCGAACAAGCGCCCGAGGAAGGGAAGGGTTGCTTACTTTCCACTCAGCACATAGCACTGTCCACTTGGTTTCAGCAACTCAAAGCGTACCAATGTCACCATTATCACAGCTCAGTGTTTTTTTCAGCACCGGAACGTAGGATGTGTAACCACCAACGGAGCTGCATGATAGGAAAAGCACTCAGAATTGATCACAATGATGGTAAACATGAAAGCCGTGAGAATCATGAGTCACGATTGTAAACAGTTGTGATGGTCATGCAAATGGTAAAAACGGTGACAGTCATAAGTCATGCTGATAGTAAAAGTGATGATGAGGAAAATGATTGTAACAAAATTGGTTACAATGGCAAGTCATCACGATGATCCCAATGACATGTTCCAGGGGTTTTAAACTACCAACTATAACCCATTAACCCTGGAACAATTTAACTGTAGTCGGCATAGCTGTTAAATGACGATTTAAACTACAATTATGGTTGGTATAACCCATAAAGATACTGATTAAGGCATGATACACGCAGCATTCAATATCAACCCACAATGCTGCCAGCCCCTTGTGTATTCACTATGACCAGTAACTTGGACCACTTGGGGCCTCACTGAATCAGAAAACCCAGTGAATTGGTTGGTGAAATAATTGTTTGACGGGAAAAAATCTAGAGGAAACATGATGTGTTTTGTTTTTCCATATATATATATACATACATACATATATATATAGATGTAGTGCTTTCCTGATAGATTTTCCTGAAACCAATCCAGCGATGAAATGATCGAAAACCCAAAGAATCCCCAATGAATTCATGATGACGAGTACCTTGGCCCAGGTTGACCCTGCATGCTTGTGATGTGGCGCGCAGCGAGGCAGCGAACCCAGCAAACCGGGCACGGCAAAATTGTGAAACTTGATGGCTAAACAGCTAAGATAATCATTGACAATAAACCAGCAACCATGGTTATTATAGCTTTTTATGAGGGTTCGCTGTTTAGGTTACCAGAGATTGGAGATCTAATATTGAAAGATCATGAAAGATCTCAATTCGACCACAACGCCGCGACTTCACCAAGAATCAATGGCATTTGTTCATAGATGACAGTTAGTCGCAAAAGACATCGCAACATCAAAATACCAGGTTCTATCAGCAACCAAAGGAACTTCAAGTTTAATCTATTAGGATAGGACATAACCGAAAAGCGAGTGGTTTCCACCAATAATTTGAGATTCCTTCATTGGACGACATTGAATCGTGTCCGTGAGTGATCAAGCACACAAACAAAAGTGTTTGTCTGAAAAGGAGGAATCTTCCTCTAATTCACTGGTCATATAATCATTAGTATTCCCCCCAAAAAAATGCCACAGGGATCCCATTAATGCAACTAAATCCCATTGAAATCCCATTAACATCTTATATACTCTAGAAAACCTCATTAAACCTTAAATCCCATTAAATCACCATTGATTCACTGATTAATCATTATTCGGCTCAAAATGAAAGTGACCATTTAAGATGACATCCGACTAAATCCCATCAAAAGAATGTAAAAGGCCCACTAAGATCTCGTCAAAAATTCCTACTGTTGATGGTTAAAACCCATTAAAATCAAATCGAAACACGTTTAAATCGCTATTAAATCACCATAAATCCCAATAAACACCCATACAATCATACAACCCTACAAAATTCCCAAACAGATCACCATCAAATTCACCATAAATCACCATAAAATGACCATGAAATCACCATAGAAATCACCATAGAAATCACCAGGAGAAGGAACGTTTGGAGGTGGACCGCAGCAGCACCTTCTTGAGCCCCAACAGTTGCTGGACAGCGGATCGTTGGAACGGTGGATGACAGCCATTGGATTTTCATCGGATGTTAAGGGGATTTCAATGGACTTTGAATGATTTGTATAATGGATTTTTTATGGAATTTGAATGGGAGTGATAATGTTAATGGGATTTTAATGGGATTGAGTAAGATGTTGTGGAAGGGTCGTGGGATTTGAGTGGCATTTGATAGGATGTTAATGGGATTCAATGGGATTTTAATAGGATTCAACAGGATTTAATGGATGAAAGAGCTTGTGTATTCAAAAAAGAAGCATTCGATAGATATTGCTTGAACAGATCCAGCAATGTTGCTGTTTAGTTGTTTTTGGGATATTTGTGTGTACCTTCAGACAAGGCTGCAAACATACTGTTTCACAAAACATGTAGGAGAATGTTCAGAACATGTCTGGTTTGAATATCCCTTATAAGGGGGTTAGTGAATTGCAATGGCTCAAAATTATTTGCCCCACACAATTTGGACTGTTAGAAATGCTCATCTTCACTGTCTAGATTTCTGCAGCCTTTATATAGAGTGATATTTTTCTGAAATCAAAAATTTAGATAGATTTACCCTGTGGTAAACTAACATAACTATGGAAAATCACCATTTTTAATATGTAAATCATCTATAAATGGGCCATGTTCAATAGCTATGTTAAATTGCCGGAGAGTAGATTCTTAGTAGATTGAATCCTCATCTACGTTCTTTAGATGTTCATTTGTCGTTGAAATGGCTTACTTTGCCCTTCTAAATTACTCAAAAGATACAGTATACATTAAGAATTATTTACAGTATATACAATAAACACACAAGTAGAGCTTCTGATGCCTACTACTATCTAAATGCAATGCCAGTAAATCATTCCCATGATATATAATATAATATATATATAAATATATATATATATATTATACCACCCATTATTTCCTCATAACATGATGGGTTCAATTGTCTTATCCACCATTGATCCCCATGTTCATAAACTATTCAGTATTATCATTTATTGGTTAAATCCCTATCTACGAAGTTCAGATCATAAGCATCGCCACTAGATCCAGTTTTCATTGTTTAAATCCCGATGTCTCATGATCATATCCGAAAACCTTTGGTGGTTTAAAGATGGTCCCGTGCCATTTTTTTTGCCGTTCAAATCTCCCAGCGCTGCCATCGCCCAAAGGTTGGAAGAGTTTGCTCCGCTGGCCTAGCTGGTCAAGCAGGCAGCAGTTGGGTATGTTTAATTCATATACACTGATTACTTTATCATTACTTGATATGATAGCATCTCCTATATCATTACATGTATCTCACTGATTGGGTATGTCCTATGTTGATTTGTTTTGATTGCCTTTATTCTCACAGTTTTTCGAGGAAACCAGCTGGTAAGTCAAGTCGTGGCCCCCATATGTGCTGCGCAGGGGCGGTGTCACGTCACAATTGGAGGCCGGTGGGGTGCCTGTGGGGTGCGACCATGGGCTGGGGATGGGTTTTTCAAGGTTGTAAGTTGGTGATTTCATTGGATTAATATGGCTTAAATGATGATCCATAGATTGTGGCTTGTGGCTATTTGATTGGATTAATGATTAATGGTTGAATTCTGGTTGCTACGAGACATGACCAAAAATGACCGGGGCACAGTTTTGGGGCCCTCAAGGCTTCGACGAAAATAGGAGAACATGTTTGGGATCGTAGAGGTCCTTTCCCCGCTGGTTAATTGATAAAGATGAATGGGCTGCCCAACCAACCTCCTATCTTTTCCGAAGGTTGAAGTGTTTGGGAGAATGGGTTTTCTGACGTGAACCTGTATGAATCCAAAGATTGCTGCCATCAGTGTAGACTCTTGAAGACAGATCAGTATGCTGTGACACCCCAGAAGTGATTCAATGTTCGAAGTCTGTGAGTGTCCGAAAATATCATCCAAAACAAAACAACGATGTTTTTTGTTCCCATGACATTAATCCCATTTATCCATGCGGTCTTGATTTGTTTGGTGCATCCTTTTGTAGACAAATATATGCTTTGAGTGTGAATGGCTGAAGAATTCACTATGGGGTGACCAATGTTTGCATGGGATTCTCAAGGAACCTTAATAGATCGACATGAGCTTGCTGGAGTGGGATGGTAAAACTTATGGGTTCCTGCGAGATTTGCGCAAATGAAAGCCATAAAACAAAATGAAACATGGCTCCCAAAGGTATCCGAATACAGGTTTGTTTTGAAAATAGGATGCCCCAAAATCCCCTGGTTTATAGTGGTTTATAGTGGTTTATCATTAATTTCCCACTCAAATCGGCAATTTTATGTATATTCCCATTTTCAGACACACCCATATATATATATGAGTATCTGACGAAATTACAAGCATACTAAAGTAGTAAAGAGCTGCCTTGAACTTAGTTTGCCTTCATGAAACCACCGCAACCGACACACTGCTATTGCCAGTCTCGTTCCTAGATGCATACGGAAGTCACCATAGGTCTGCCAACGCTCGCGAGTTCAAGGAACTCATGACGTTGCCAATCCTTGGGGAAGGCCACTGGTGAAGCTGTTTTCGTGACAGCAAAGATGGAGATCAGCTGCAATGGATGCGGCTTGACTGAGCACTTGCCCAGCATGCACTCCCGAACGCCTCCGCATTGCAAAGCAATACATGTTGATATTCTCCGACATCCTAGACCACACATGCATGCGCGCAAATCGCTGCATTGATTTGTGTTTGGAAGAAAGGAGATCGAGCTCGTTGCAGACTGCCATCAACATCGTTTCTGATGCAGCTGGTGATTGTTGCGGTTTTGAAAAAACCTATTGGGATAGAATGGTCGGTTCTTTTTTTCCCATATTTCAATCAACGGCAAATGTCAACCACGCCAATCTTCCCCTGACATAGTTCCTGTAGTCAAATCCCCATACTTTCAAGCATGTCACACTTCAGTAGATCCCAGTCAGTGACCATTGCATTATTTTTTCTGGTTGGTGGTTGGACATATCGTGAAATATATCTCATTGTCCATCCAACCAATGGATGACAAAGATATAATGGAGTCATAGTATATAGATGTATATAGTTAGAAACCAACACAACCATCATCAATGAATATGTGTTTCTGATCTTTGCTGGTTAATTTCACAGTCAAAGTAAGAAACTAATCCAACTTTATGGAGTTCACCGTCTCCAACCATAGCCAGCAACCAACTGGGGGAACAATGATGGTTTCACCTTCCAGTAAGTTAACATAGATTCTATAGATCAGGAAATTGTCATAGTAAGACACATAGTAAGAAACTAATCAAACTATATGTATATATACGTAATACATATATATATATACTGGTCATGGTGTAAGAAGTCCCCGCATATATATCTGGTGGTGGTTTGGAACATTTGGATTATTTTCCATATTTTGGGAATGTCATCATCCCGACTGACTTTCATATATGAAGTTCTAACTTTCTAATCTTAACACCATCTCCAAGCGGTCATAGTAAGAAATCTCATCGCTAGGCCCTGGGATTTGAAGCTCGGGCCCTCGCCTGGGCGCTGGACGTCTTCCAAGGCGCGACTTCGCCTTCTTTGGCCATGGCTTGGTGACGTTTTCCAAAGGATTTCTGGGGAAAACATGGGGAAAATAATGTGAAAAGCCTCTGGACAGTGGTGATTTGATGGTTAATTTTCATGGTTATTAATTGGTTTTCTGATTATAATTGCCATAAATGGGGGTGATTTACTGACTTACTGACTGGTAAAGGGCGATAACTGTATGGAAACCTATGGGAACAAGTCGGAATTGTTTCACTATCATATGGTTTTATTTCCACTGTTTATTCGCATGTTCAAAGGTTGGATTTTATGCCAGTATTGGAGAATGGTCATCAGTTCATGTTCGTCGGGATTATATACCCACTACAGGGGTATTCTTATCATGGGATGGATGACGACAATCCACGTACAATATATATATATAATACACACTATATATTTTATTTAGGTGTGTACCATAATTAGAGTTCTTTGTTCAATTGTGGCATGTTCTACTAATTCCCATGTCTAATTACAGTTACATTAGTTTCCTGATATGTTTTTTCCCATCAGCCCATGAAGCAGCTGGTGACTACTCATGTTCAGGGGGGTGGTGACTAACCATCAATGGCAAAGATGGGCAAAAGCTGGTTGGTGGTGTCAAACATTTTGTTTATTTTCATCCCAACCCCATTGACGAACTCCATCATTTTTCAGAGGGGTTCTGGTCAACCACCAACCAGATTATTATTAACCATCATTAACCCTATCATAACCATATATTATATAACCATATATTAACCATAGATTAACCACTCATAAATTAACCACAGGATATTAACAGTATATATTAACCACCACCCAGAAAACATCGGATGAATGATGCGCGAATGACTAAGCCGGGTGGAATCTGTGACATCCTCATGTAAGCTTCCCATCCATGCTCATACTGGGTTCTTATATATAGATGTTCTCCCACTATTCAAGTGGTCAATTTGGCGGTATACCATGGTATAATTACATATAGTGACCCAATTTCTTTATTTTTTGGATAGATTCATATCATCCATTTACTGGTTGGTGGTTTGGAACATTTTTTATTTTTCCATATATTGGGAATGTCATCATCCCAACTGGCGAACTCCATCATTTTTCAGAGGGGTTCTGGTCAACCACCAACCAGATTATTATTAACCATCATTAACCCTATAGTAACCATATATTAACCCTATAGTAACCATATATTAACCATATATTAACCATATATTAACCATATATTAACCATAGATTACCAACCCCGGCAGAACAAAATCCAGGTGCAGTTCTCATCCTGGACGACATCGACCTGTTAATGCACCCACTGCGCAGCGACCCTTGGCACCACGGGAGAGAAATGGTTACCCTTTGGTTATTTAACATAGCCATGGTATAGATGGCCCATAGAAATAGATGATTTATCTATATTTATCTATTGAAAATGGTGATTTTCCATGGCTATGTTAAATAACCAGATGGTATAAATGGGGTTATCGTTCAATTGGGCTTATAACAAGTGACCTATAACTACAACTGGTAAAGCTTTTAAAGGGCCTACATATAACTGACTTATAATGTGTATTTCGGGCCATGACTGTGTAGAGCTCTCAATGTCGTGTTCTCTGGTCAGCGTCATCGTGTTCAAATACCGCTATTTTTTACGGGGTACGTCGCTTGGGCCCAGCATCTAAAAGCCAGCTGGTGGACCCCGCGGAAATCATTTGCTGTATTTGGAACGTATTTGGCTGACTTATTTTACTTTGCGCACGCATTTTATCCAATTTTGGGACTATTTTTGAACATGAGCCAGCAAACGCCACTACAGCTGGTGTCCTTTAAACATTTTTTCAAGGGCCCATCACCACCCCAGCCCGCGACGTCAGGAGTTGCACTGGCCACTGGGGACGCAGCATTTGTTGGATTTCACGGCCACTGGGTCCACCAACACGTTGACCTTGCGTGAGGACGATCAGCGCCTTGTCCTGGAGGTGGTTTCAGTGGTCCCATGGCCCATCGCCATGTGGGAGGAAAACGGGGAATGGCCAGACAAATTCTGGTCCACAGATGTGGAACAAATGCTCTAATTATGGATGAAGCAAAAAAAATCGACTATTTCGACTATTCCAAATCTTGGATATAAAGCATGACCATTCCACATGATCCAAATGTTGGGATACCCGCTCGGGTAAACGTCTACATCCAAATGTGGCAAAAACCATGGGGTTTCACCCGCTCGGAAAATGATCTGCATTTCATGGGTTTCCATATCAGTTTGATATCATCGAATCCATTTGGCCCATGACATGCAATATCAAGATGATACAAAAGAAACATGTCTTATTTCCACAGTTTGTTGGATATGTGTTCAAGAGTTATTCATCACATGTTGAATAGGTTCTCTGAATTGAAATGACATTGTTCTATAATGCACATTTAGGTACATTAAATTGACGTTCAGAGAATTTCGGCAATATTTGCATGAATCCATGCGTTCTATAAATCACATGTAAACATTATGTTGTCCCCTGATTGTCGCATGAATTTTAGAGTTATATGAATCAGCTATGAAAACATCATGTTTACCATCAACTGTTCTATGATTTGTCAATTTCGAATTGCTAAGTATTAACGCACTTTAACATGTTGTGTCCTTTATTTTTCATGTGAATTGTCCTGTTCTACGGATCAGCCAAATGGCGGTCGAAACCCATGGAATCCTCTTCTGTTTACCCTCAAAGTTCATATCCTAGCCTCAAAATCACGAAAATGTTTATGGGTGTTTATATCCCAGGATATGTGATTTTATGTGATTTATATCCCAGGAAATGTATATAAAATGTTTATATCCCAGGAACTTCCGAGGATATCAATGTTCAAAAAACTTTTATAAGGAACAACAAAGACATGGGTCCATAAAGGTGGTTGAAATCGGTGTTAGGCACGAGGCCACCATCTCCTATGTGGCTGGAAGTCCTGCCGCTCGGCATTTCGCGGGGAAGCCATGGGTTGCGCCATGCGGTTCGGTGCCGCCGATGTGATGTTTGATGCATCAAATATTAAGAACGAACATGGTTTAATAATGGTGTCTAATTATCACGCATTATTAAACATTAGTACTATGATTTAGCATTATTTAATATTAAACACCATAGTAAAACGTTTAAATATTGATTTTCTTATTAATCAACAAACATTATTAAAGACCATATGTTTGTTGACCATATATGTTTCAAAAATCCCATCACCCTGATATCAAACACCCCAATTGCATGGTCCCAATGGAATGTGGAAATTCCCCTACTAAACCACGGTTTCGTTTAGGGGCTGTTTCATATTAGGGGGAAGGGATCAACCTTAAATAGTCTCAACCCCAAATTAAGAAAGGTTGGTTTATGAACTAGGGGGGTACTTCCCCAATAGTCATAATCTGATACTTAAATGGTACCTCCCCAATTAAACAGCCGTTTGGGGTTTATTAATCCAGGGTTGACATTAAACCAACACATGGGGATACAGAGTTGATATACCTGTTTGTGATAGCTAAGGTGATTCCTCCGGTGATGGTTGGTGAGTTATGACCCCATCAAACTATATGGATAATATATATATATATATATTATAATTATATGTATATATGTATATTTATAAATATGTATGTATATATATATATAATCCATTCAAACCCAAAGAAAAGGTAGCCTAGTTATTCACCAACAGAATTCTATCGTTTTTGTTTGTTGGTTTATGTTCACCCCTTTAACTGGTTCACCCCTTTACCATCAAATTAAATCAACCTATTGTCTGCGGGGGGCCCGCCTTGAATAGGGATGGCATCTGAGTTATACATATATGGACGGGTTTATTTCGGATTACTATGAGAGTTAGAGGTGATATGACTCATGATATTTATTTTTGGGAAGGGGGGTGGAACATCATCTAAGCATGGACCTGTTAAGCATGACTTGTTGGGTAGGATGAAAAGACTACCAGGGTATGCCCCACACTTGGCGAAGATGATTCATATGTCAAGGAGTGGATTTAGTTTTGATTTACAGTACAATATTTACTGTAGAATTTGATGATTTTAAATACCTATCTTAACTGGGTATAAGAGTAGTAAACTCAGCTAGCTGATAAGTTATGTATAGTTCTGAGTGGCTGGGCTTACAGGATGGTGCCCCCCAAGTTATAGATTAGTTTATAATCCCATTAACTGTAGACATATCACCTATAAACCCTAGTTATTGGGGTTATAAACCAACTTAGCTATCGAACGGGGCACCGCCTTGTATAAACTAAGTTAAACTTGAAAGGCAACACACTGAGGGTATCGACCCACTGAGCCGTCCCCACTGATCAGGTGGGTGCCCGCTGGCAATTGGCCTTCCACCTGCTGGACTGGGCGAAATCATGGATGGCTTGGGTCGGTGGACCAGTTCGGGGATGGAAATCGGGATAAAACTGATGACACATGGTTTGTGTTTTGTTGTGTTGTTTTCAATATATCACTAGAAATGTGCGTTTGGACCACATATGTTTAAAATATACCATTAATTGAACACATCCAATATACCAAACCACATTCAAATATACCAAACCACATGAATGGACCATATATGTGTGTGTTTGTGTTGTTTTGGTCATGTGATTTGATCATTGGCTTCCATCCTCACTGGCAGGACACGGCAGGCAATGAACTGTTTTGTCCTACGGTATTCCTGAATTATGTTCTTCAGATATCCAAGGATTACATGTCTGAAATAACCAAATGAACTGTCTTGTCCTACAGTATTCCTAAAATTTGAGGATCCCATGGCTCCTTTTCTTCATTTGGAAATCCTACTGCTCGACACCTGACTGCCACACCCACCCCTTCTAGCCATGATCAGAATATGATTACTCACAAAATCAAGGCCTCTAAATCCACCATAAGGTATAATGTCATGGGAAAACCCCAATGATTTTCCCATAAGGTACAATGTCATTTAATGTATAATGTCATTTAAACCATAAGTTATGTCTTCAATGATTTTCCATTGAAATCCCATGGATCTACCAAGGTCTTCGTTCCCCACCACCGGACGTGTTTCACGCAGATCGAGCAGGACGGTTTCTTCTCCTGTCAGCAGGGCACGTTGGCCCCGGGCCCTGCCTATAGCACTGCGCAGCAAGGCGACCAGATACCAGATGGGACAATATTGGGATAATATTGGAATAATATTGGATAATATTGGATAATATTGGAGAATAGTGGATAATATTGGGGTAATATTGGAATCATATTGGATAATATTGGGTAATAATTAATGGGATAATAATGGTTATAAGTGTCGTTATAAAACAATCTTCTAAGTGGAACAGCACCCCCAAGCAAGCACCCCCAAGCAAACCCAATGACATAAACAAATACCACTTGGGTATATGATATGCGGATATAGATAGGTTAGAATAGATTTGATTGGATTGGACTGGATTTGGTTAGATGAGATTAATAGATAGATAGATATGTGATTGCCACTTCATAGTCGCCATCTCCAAAATACCAACCGGTGAAAATATCATAGATCAACAAGTGGAGCGATATACATTTATCACCCAACTCATTTCCTCATTTTCATTTGCTATTAAAATCAAACAGGGGCTGTTGATCTTATAGTTCATTTGGATAGAAACAAGTCAACAATCATTGGATAATTATCATGCGAGATATATGGAATGATAATGACACACAAGGGATAACAAACATGCAATAGCATTGAATAGTTTGGGTTCACAACTATTTATAAAATCATTGATTATACAAATTATATAAAAGAAACTGTATTATACGCATTGCTTAATAATAATAAAGTAATATTAATAATGATGATAATACAGATATATAGTCATAATGGGACAATAATAAGGATCGGGGCTAAAAATGGGAGTTCACGGGGAAATAATGATGAGACAATAATCAGAATGGAATCACAATCATGGGAGCAGTATCCCGGTATATATATATATAGCCGTATGATAATTGGATATATAATCATGTATTATTTTCACAACAAAACAATCATATAACAATCATGGAGTGATCATTGGATCACAATTGTACATCAATGGAATAATAATAAGAGGCGAGGCGCCATCCAGGACAAATCCAAGGGAATGGGCGCGGAGATACCACGCTCAGGGGTGTTCCCGATAACGGTGTCGGAGATAAGGAGGTGGAAACGGACTTGATGACGCTGGAGTCTCAGGTTAACACCGGAAACTACCTAACTACCTGGTTGGTGGTTTATGGAACATGACTTTTATGACTCTGCATATATTGGCAATAATTATAACCCCCTCTGACTTTCATATTTTTCAGAGGGGTTGTTTTACCACCAACCAGAGAAACTACCAGTCGGTGTCTCTGGAATGAGGAAGCTGCGGCAGGGGCGCTCCAGAGACTCATCGACAAGGACCACGTTGCGGTGTTGCGGTCGACGAGGCGGAGAAGTTCGAGGGAACAATCAGCTGGCACTGATCTAAAAGGAGAAAGAAAGTGACCAGATAAAACACAGCTTGATCGATCTGCTGAGATCAGGTGGAAATGACAAAACCCAAAGAGCGCATCATCCTCCCCAGGAGGATGTGGTAAATGCTGATGGTGGATCTGCCGGTCACAGCAAATCTCGCCCTTCGCAACCTGCCGGTCAAAGCGAAGTTGGTGGCCCTGAAGCCGCTCGGAAATCCCTGCCTTGGTCCCGGTAAAAACAAGTTGGCACTCACAGACCTTATGCATGAAGGTGGTTGAATATGTTTTTTTTTGTTTGCAGAATTGGATGATTAAATAATTATAATAATTTACCCTCTGGTAAACTAACATAACTATGGAAAATCACCATTTTAGTGGGAAAACTCACTATTTCTATGGCAATTTTCAATAGCTATTTTGACATAACCAGAGGGTAGATACCACTTTTTTCATCACTGAGGCCCATTGGTCAACCTTGGATTTCTTCGATTGGCCCGGTTGGAACTCTGGAGTCTCTCCAAAAAAATCACCAATCAGGTCCTCATTTTCAGGCAGTTTTTGTTGACTAGAATCCCAACTTATATTGTGAAAAGGGAGTCCACACCCCCATGTACGGTTGTTAGACATATGCTCCATGTATAACCATGGTCCATGGTTGTTTGAAATATTCATGCAATCACTTAAGATCTGTGTTTTGGATGTGTCGTAGTGAAAACCGCTGAGAACCCCTTATCGTACAATGTTTTGATTGTGACATCCTTCACTATGTGTTTAAACAATTATAAACATCTCACTTTGTGCTGGTCAAAACAACTCAAAACCATCATTGAATCAGCCAAAATCAAGTCAGTTGTTGACTCCAATCAACACTAAACCAACTCGAAATGAACTTCAATCATCATTACACCTATAAAACCATATAAAACCTTATAAAACCATATTAAAACCATATAAAAACCATGAAATCTCCCATTTGCCCCGGCCATTTTTGTTGGCGCATCTGCCGACCTCCCGTGGCCGCAGGCGACCCGTGCGCCGCGGCGGTGCTGGAGCGCCTGCGGCTCAGCGTGGCGCGGGGCCTGCGGCAGAAGCAGCTGCAGCAGGCGCCGCATCTGGCCACGCGGCAGCAACGGTTGGTGGTTTATGGCCCATAAATACATCCCGAAACTTGGGTATTCTCCATATATAATATACTGGTTGGTGGTTTATGGAACATGACATTTATGACTTTCCATATATTGGGAGTTATGGAAAGAATTAGATGATGATATCTCATACATTGATACATCGGCAATTTATTGGATATCCTCTGGTGATTTTTCACATACAAGGTGGTGCACCCCGATGGCCCAAGTTATGTTGGTTGGTTCATAATCCCATGAAAACTGTAGATATTTTACTTCATCTTTACTATTCTGGTTGGTGGTTTATGGAACATGACTTTTTTTTTCCATACATGGGGAATAATAACCTCAACTGGCTTTCATATTTTTCAGAGGGGTTGAAACCACCAACCAGTTTAAGTATTGGAATAATTATGAATAACTCATTATTTGTGGGATAAATGTTTTTTGAATAAATATTCCCATGTTTCTCATGTTCATGATTTTTGGAATATTTAATGGTGTGTCGATTTGTTGATGTTTTGTTTTGTGTGTTTTGTTGTAGACAGTTGTGTGCTAGTTGGAGGAGAATAGATATACAGTGATTTCAAATCTGAAAAACAACATGGAACGTGAGTTGACGTCCAACCAGATCAGACAACTTGCGCAAATGTGGGTTTGTCTTAAACGGTGTGTATCCTCAAAAATCGTGGTTCATCACTATTGTTCCTCACAGTTATGGCCCTTTACCAGTTGTAAGTACTAAGTCACCCCATTTATGGAATGTATAAGCCCATTTCTAGCCAGATATAACATGATATAACTAATAAATGGCCATTGTTCTGCAGCAAAATTGTAATTTTTGGGTCTACCATGGGATATTTTTCGACAGACCCATGTGGGAACAGATCCAGCTGCTGTGGACCGAGGTTCTGTTGTCCCTGGATTTCTACCACAAGGACAGCAGCAGGGAAAGGGGCACCCACAGATGTACAACTGCGAAACGAAGGTATCATTTCAGAGTGCAATGTTCTCATCATTTCAGAGACACAAAAAAAACCGTTGTTTCCAGTTTTCGAAAAATGTATCCTCATCTAAGCATATCTAAGCTCTCCTTTGATTCAGAGAACCATTGGGACCTCAGGAGCTACGTCCCATCCTGGCGGACTGGGCCCTGGTGTGGTTCAAATGCGACGCCACGCGCGCGGCGAAGCTGCGGAGTTTCTGGTGCGTTGCTGGGCGGAACGGGGGGATGGTGGGGGGTTGGGGGTTGGGGTACCATCTGGTAAATTCACATAGGGAACTGGAAAATCGTCATGTTTTTGAGTATCTTTCATGGGAAAACCAACTATTTAATAGTAACTATTACTATGGCCATGGCTTCAATAGCTATGTTAGATTACCAGAGGGATGCAGGGGTTGTTTGGCTTCTTAGATGAGCCATGGGATTAGCTCATTAGTTAGTAAGATCTTAGTAACTGGGGTCTGGGGTATAACCCACCATGTCCCGAATTATAGTCCAGTAATTCGTGAACTAATTCCATCTTAAACAAAGTTGGAGGAGTGGTAAGGGAAGGGCAGTTGTTCATTGTGGATGGAGGTTTGATGTGAATAATTGAGAATGTCGATGTAGTTTTTCCATTTTGGATAACTGCAAAGTTTCCTCTTTATTCTGTTTCCTCTCAAACACCCTTGTACTATGTATAGGGGATGATGGTGACAGATGGTCAGGGCAATGCATGTACTGGAGGCATATATGTAGGCACACCAATTTCTTTTGATATGTTATGTTTGCTCTTTGTGTTTTTGCAATCAATTGAACCACGTGTTCCATGCCCATAATGACAGGTAGAGTGTTGAAATATGTTAAACTGTATTTAATGTTTGCCAAGTTAAGCGCAATGAACTTGAATCAGCTGCTTTACAGCTTTGCCCATTTTGCTGATAAGGTTTGCATACCCTGGTGGTTGGTGCTTTGACATGTCGTTCCCGTCGATGTTTCGTCCATACTTGGGACAATGATATCTCTAGCAACCAGCCAACAAAGGAAGCATAGCTTTCGCAGAGTGCGATGAAGGTGATAGCCTTCACCATAGCACATGTTTGGGTCATCATGGACTTTCGAGGCTTGAACTGTACAGTTGTGTAAGGCTGCAAGGCTTTCTTTCGATACAGTTTTCTAGTCTCAGTGGCAAACAGGACCTGTTCAAATTTCAACCCCCCCTACAATCCTTGTAGATGAGTTACATGCTATCCATTTGTGCCATCGTCAAATCTTCTGGTGTAGATCCATATTTGGAGGATAGTCCCAGGATAGTCATCCCCACATGGCTAGAGGTTAACAATTGCTGCAGTAACATATCCCAGTAATCGATGGATGACAATACCTTATATACCAGGCTTTGGTATAGTATGATTACAAGTTAACATACTTGGCTTATTATATATACAAGTTAATTAACTATCATGTATGGCAATAATCTAAGGATGAAGCTCACATATTTGTTGCTTCATCCTTTGCAGAGATATGGCCCCCGTTGGGTCAATTCACCATGCTGCTGAGGGTGATAGCAGCTCAGTGGAGGACTGCACGGGAAATGTCACACAAAACCGGGACTGCTTTACAAAATTACTCCGAACATAAGGGTTTGCTGCAAATTCTACATGAAGGTTCCGCACATGGCTGGTGATTGTCCAAGGTTTGATTATGGAGATCGGGTTGATTGATGATTGAACAAGGTGGTGCCCCCTACATAGCTAAGTTGGTTTTTAGGTGATATACCCATAGTTAATGGGATTATAAACCAACAAACATAACTTGGGGGGCACCACCTTGAAGGGGGAGACATTATGATGGGAATCCAGACCCATTGAGGTTTCACTGACAGCTCCACCATCGTTGTGTGTGGGTGGCGATGCCCCGATAGTTGATCAACACCGGGTTGATGTTTGAAAAAATGGGAATGACCAACAGGACTAGGGTCCAGCCTTGAAAACCAAGATGTGCAACACACAAATACCTGGTTGGTGGTTTGGAACATTTGGAACATTTTTTCCATATATTGAGAATGTCATCATCCCAACTGACGAACTCCATCATTTTTCAGAGGGGTAGTTTTACCACCAACCAGATTTTAGGTGACACAGAACAACTTGATGGTCTTCACATGGCTCAGCCTTGTTTCCTGTTGATTTTCAATATTTGACCCCACAAAAATAGCCTTTCAAACCCTAATGACCTGGCAAGATTGTAGATGGCAACATTCCGAGGTCCTGCTGGACCCGTGACCTTGGCGCTAGTTGGTCCAGCTTGGGCATTTGCGCAATCTATGTCATCTATGTGTGCTAAAAACACCAGAATGTGTGTGTGTGTGCCATTGTGAAAGGCTCGGAAGGATGCAGGGTTTGGACATTAAATGAACATCATTTGATCAGCCTTTCGAAAATATGAGATTATGTTTGGTAATTGCTAACTTGATTGACTTGATTGGCCAATTGTCCTTATGTCATATCTTCAGCGGGACCAGAAGTTTATATATATATATATATAATTACATATGTATATATTATCCAGCCCATATCAAGAATAATTACTAGCCATTATTATCCAATGATTTCCCCATTCTTTATCCATATTAACCATAATAACCCATATAATTACCAGGTTATTGGCCTTGAACAGTTCCGTGAAACTTATTTGGTGACCTCACGTGGCAGGACTTAGCCAAAGACCTGGGCGATGCACAGTTGAAGCTGGGATGGTTCGGAGACGTTTATGATGTGTAAAAACCATTCGAAATGGTTGTGTTTTACATGAAAAACAAGTCAATAGTCAACTTTGAGAGAATATGACAGGTTACTTATCATGTTAAAACTTATCATCGGACATGTTTGTTTTATTTAATCAATAGTAACGAAATGAGTCAAATTTGTGTTTTATCGTATGGCAAGTTACTTATCATGACTTGGATCATTTGTTCAACGCCAATGTTTTATCACACAATACAAAGTTACAGCCACCTTGAACAACCTGACCATTCAATGGATGTGACAACAAATAAATATACAACGACTTAATTCAGGTGTTGGATTCATTCTAAATCCAGGCTCCAGGGCTATATCTGTGTCCCTTGTCGAGTTGCTTCTCCATTTGCAGATTCACATCCCATTATGATCAAATCAAGCTAAATCTATTCTTTTATGATTAGATCACCATTTTACTCGGTTAAATGACGGTATTGATATGGTTGTCTTGTATCAAGTATTTATTGGTTTGGCTGATTGAACTGATAGCCAGAACACCATATCATTATTCATAAACTAGTCGATGATTATTGATATGCTTGATCAGTCAAAAGAACCTTTTTATGGTTAGATCTTGTTAGTTCACCATTTTTTGGGTTAACTGTCAGGATTGATGTGGTATTGATATGGTTAGATCAAATCACAAGTTTTGATTGTTTTTGGCTGGTTAAACCCCAGCTGATAAATGTTTGGATCGTGAATCACGGTTTCCAAGGAAGGCGGTGAATTTGATTCGCAGCTGGCTGTCCACGTGGCTTGGTGATCGTAAGGGAACTTTGATCAAGAGAAATTGGTGATTGAAACATTCAAAAAGGGTGATTTTACCAATAAATACGGGTGGAGTCAGATGAACCATTGAAAAAGGTGACGCCGACGCCACAAAAATGATGACTTAATGAATGAAGATGGCACTGCAAGCAATAGAAATGGTGATTTAACTGTGAAAATTGAGCGATTTCTTACCAAAAAACATGAACCTATCAGCAACGACAAAGAAATGGTGGCATACATGAAACTGATGCGTGCGTTCAAAGCCTTTTGCTTTACATCCAACCAAAGGGAGGACTCGTGACATTGGAAGAGCTGTGATGAAAGACATAAACACTGAGAAAAGGGTGGAGCCAATTGCAACTCCTGTGTATTAGTGATTATCTTCAAGGAACCTGCTACCTGCTCTGTAGATTTCAAGATTGAACAGGCTATGGAATTCCCAGAACTGTTTTGATGATGTCCCAACTTCCATGAAACCCCAAAGTCGGTGACACGTCCATTAAGTCGGGGACAAACCAAGGAGATATCGTGTGTTTCCATCAAAATCAGAAAATATCATGAAATATCCCCTTAAACATCTTTGATCAGATGTCATAAATAACAACTTTTTTGCAGCTACATATGTTTTTAACGGGTAAATCAACTATGGTCATTTTATGCCATTTTCAATAGCTATGTTTGTCTACCAGAGGGTACCTATTATTAACCATATATTATCCATATATTAACCAAATATTATCCATATATTAACCATAGATTCTGGATTATCCACATATTAACCATATATTAACCATATTAAATTACCAGAGGGTACTAATGTGGTAGTTTTTGGTACCTTTTTCTTATGGGATCCATCCGACCCATCCCCATATCCAGGCTGTTTCCCCACTTGGCGTCGCGAATTCACCGCGTGCACTACGGCTTGCTGGACGAGGCTGGGCCTTGTTTTTTTAATAACTTCCCTTGGTGGTCCAACCACCATTTCATTGCCCAGATCTTCTATGAATGGTGTGTATGATTATATATATATATGTGTGTGTGTAATGTAATGTAATGTATTAGATATTAGATACCATATGCATATGTTTATATATAGATATTCCATTCAGAAATTCATGGATGATCATGTGCCCACATTTATCTCAACAATAAGCTAGTCATGTAAACATCCCCAAACCATTGATAGTATGGGCAATGAGCAAAAAACACTATGTTGTATATTCAGTGCCCATGCTTGTTCATTTGGTCCAAGTCTGCTCTTCATAGGGGTTAAATCCCTTAAAGTATATTTGCGTGATGAAAACGCATAGTCCCCAAACAAAACATGGAAAAGCGTTTCCAGGATGTCATACATGTAAATCACAGTTTTGACCCTATGTCCGCTAGAAAGTCAATGAATTCAGTCCTGGAGTAAAGAATATGTATGCATATATATATATATCCTTATGTATCGTTACATCCACATATGTTATGTTCTCTACATGCATACTACCTCGATGACATGTTGTTTGAAGGGTATCCAAGATTGGCCTTGTTTACCTGCGTCATTTCTCTTCAGCCGGAACATATATCAAACTTATCAAACACAATTGTATCACTTACATGTTTTAGTTTTAGTTATCTAAACATAAAATACTATACTAATTATTACGTACAGTGATTTTCTATGTTAAATACTTTAAGATATTTTTGTTTGTTCAGAAAACGTACATATATAAGTTATATAAGTCTATAATTACCTAGTATTTGTGAGTAATGGGTGAAACGATTGTACCATCTGGTTATTTAACAGTTCGCCATGGAAAGATCCACCCATTTTATAGCTAGGTAAACCATCTATTTCTATGGGTCATTTTCCTTGTCCCAAGTAGTTGTCCCAAAATAATGGGTATATTGGTGGCTCATTGGATGTATCCTAAGTAGGTTATATACCTGATATTTTCCGCGGGACAAGATCCGTTAATCCCAAAAAACTGAGGTGAACAAAGCCGGTTTCTAACTTTAGATCCCTTCTCAACTCCATGTTTTACTAATTATGTGTTCAAGTTAAAGTAGGAAATCCGAGTCTCAATAAGTCTCAATGAGTTAAACTTCATCAATCTACACAACTTATCCCATTCATAAACCGTAAAACCTTATAAATAACTTGAAAGAATGGGGTAAGTTACCCCAAGTTACCCCATTAACCCATTCATTTACCCCATTAATCACCTTATATAACGCTTAAACGACGGGGTGAACGTCGCCTCCAGGGCTCTCCGTCCTGGCCCTCCGAAGCGCCCGCGCGGCGGCAGCTGGCCGTGCCCTTCGTGGGGAAAGATGCGCCCTCGGCGCCTTGGTGAAGCCTGGGAGATGTTGACAGATTCTTTGTTGGATGGTTCTATCTATAGCAACAATGCACTGTAGTTACTGTAATATATAATTAGTTAGTTAGTTGATAAGTATAGTTGATAAGTATGTGTATATAGTTAATAGATAGAACAATAGAGAGATAGTTGATAAGTATATATATATGTGTTAGTATATGTTAGTAACTGTTAGTATATTTCAGTATAAGTTAACATATGTTCATATATAACTATATCGTTCTAAACGACTTGATTGTATTACATTTGGGTGTTTAGAATGTTTAACCAACAATAATGGGAATGTCGAAATTTGGGAAATTTGAGTCTATATCAAATCCCTGTTTTTAAGATTTTATATGTCATAATGATGATACAATTGCTGATAAAATGCGAATTCGTTCAATAAACAATCAGCAATGGATGGGGAATGTGGGGGACGTTGACCAAAATGATTGCAGCATCGCCCCTGAACATCCGTCGCAGCCACGTAACCATTGCAGATTTAACAACTAAAAGTGGGTCTTCGCAGCAAAATTCACGAGATATCTGCAACAAACATATGGATATACGTGTGCTTACGAAGCAATTGATGGTGTTCATGTGAGATGGTGATACTCAAAGTATGGCGACTACCAAATATGCATTGTTCAGGACATGGTTATGTTGAATTTAAGTTTGAAACAAGACCGCAAAAGTGTAGTGTCATTGTGGATCTGTGTCAACACCAAGCATCACCCACTTCTGGATTCAGTAGATGAAGCTGGGTGAGTTGTCCATCTCGCCAAATGGTACTCGATTTATGAGATGACCGTCATCCATTTACAAGCTGATGCCCCCAGTTATGTCTGTTGGTTTATGCTCACACCATTGCCTATTTCGATATCCACCGTGAATCCAATCGTTGACCTAGAGGTATTTCTATCAATTTGGCAGTCATCAATCGACTATATAGACTATAGATCCCTTTTTGTTGTTGCTTAAATCCATGAAAACCAAGATTTTTCCTCGTTTTTCCTCGTTTTTTACTCACCATGAAATCATCCCACCGACCATGACCACATGGCTCTCCAAGGAGAGCTCGCAGTTTAGTCATCCAGATGTGCTCATTGGGCCACTCGTCGAGGTGATGAGGGATGTTCACCAGCAAAACCTACCGTCTGGTTATTTGACAGTTCGCCATGGTATAGATGGCCCATAGAAATACAGTAGATGGTTTGCCTTTTAAACATGGTGATTTTCCATGGCTATGTTAAATAACCAGATGGTACTGTTTTTTGTTGTTTTTTTTCCTGTGGTTGTGGTTTTCAAAAAAAAAACATGTAATACATATTTTATGGATGTTGCCAGGGAACGAAACATATCAAAACATTCTAAGAGTTATTCAATAGTATGGGACATATACAGATGGTAACATTTTTTCTGGTGGGTTTTATTGATTTTGACAAGGTGTGTCTTATGGCTTAATATGTGCTTGGATTTTTGACAAAGTCAGCTTTGGTCCAACAGTCTCATCAAAGTCATGCTTTAATCAGTCTCATCAAAGTCATTACTAATAATGGTCCATTCGTCAAAGATGTTCTTTTTATATAGGTACTACGTGACAAAAAATAATGTTGGTACCATATATAGCTATACATATATAGTATATCCCAGTTATATAACATTATATAACTATAGTATACTATAGTTATAGATATACTATAACTGGGAGATACTATACCCATATGCGAACCATGGTGCTGGTATATTTGCCTACAAAACTGGGTGATTATGTTCGGGCAAATGTAGGTAAATATTCCAGCACCATGGAACATATGGGTATAGGTACTACCTGACAAAAAATGATGTATGTTGGCAAGTGCAGATACACGTAGCCCAAGAGTGTCTGATCCGTAAAGTCGTTGTCGGGTATACCAGCCACATACCAGCCACACACTTACTTTGATGGATTGATGTATGTTTTTTCTTATTCTTGTATAGAACCAACAAAACAATGTATAGAAACCCCAAACACCCCAACATAGTGCACCAAAGTGAGATGAACCAATACATCCACGTCAGGGAGATGTATGACAAGATCGACAAACTATGATGGGGGACACTGCACTCATATGGTTTTTCACCAAAAAAACAAAACGGTCATTGATTCTAGAGATTGTTATTTTGTATGTTTTTGTTGCATCTTTTTGCTGCATTTTAGAAAACATTTACCACCCATCACTGACTTGATCGTTGTACCGCATCTGTGGTATCAGTGAAGTCTCACCACCATGGCCGCCGCCACCTGAGGCTGACGTGGTTGGCCTATCGCTTCGGTGGATTGAGACAAGGCGGGGATTGTGAAACTGAGTTTCGGCGGGATGTGAAGCTCGTAGTTGCAAGATATTGGGTTGGGATATGGTAATATATGTTGGGATATGGTGGTTAATAGTGATGGTTAATAGTGGTTTTCATAGGCTATAAACCAACAACAATGGGAATATGATGGTGATCTGGTTGGTGGTTTGGAAGATGACTTTTATGACTTTCCATTCAGTTGGGAATGTCATCATCCCAACTGACGAACTCCATCATTTTTCAGAGGGGTTGTTCTACCACCAGAATAGATATTATATATATAGAATATATAGATTTTATATGATAGATATGTGAAATTCTTTGTTGCCAGATATGTTTAATGATCCTTCAAAACCCTTCGAGTACTTGGAGAAATGGATCATTGAAGGGGTTGGGATATGTTGGGATCATTAAAATGTAGCAAAATTGCCAAAACCAATCCTATTTGTTTGGGATCTTTACCATTTTGTTTTCCTGGGCACTTGGAGGTTCTAGGAATTGACATCTTTGAGCAACCACCTAGTGAGAACTGACCACCAATTGACCGGTACAGTAATAGGCACCATATCAGTGTAGTAAGGCCCAACAATGATTGTCCTTTCAGGGGATTCATGGGATTATCATTCGGTTTTTTTTCACAAAAAAGGTGACCTGATTGGAACGAATGTAATTCATGGCATTTTTTCGAAGGATCTTGCTGTCCTATCTCTGCTACATACGTGTGGTTCATAGCCCTACAAGATCCCAATGCTTCACCATTCAGTCCAGACGGGTGATCCGCCAACTCCCTTGGGAAAAGCATGGGTTTTCGGCACCTGTTTGTATGTTTATCCTGTAGGGTAAATACCATTTTCAATGTTTAGGTCCTACATCACCATGTTTTTTTTTTGGTCAAATCTCCTAAAACATAGACAATTCAAGAAAAATGACACTATGAATGTGGTGTTTTAAGTGCCAAAATTCCCATCAGATCCCAACAGATCTCCGAAAAAGATGTCCCCATGATTTCCCCATAATGTCCACTAAACATAATGTCCACTAAAAAAACATCAAAAAATCATGGGACATATAAAAATCATGAAACATTATGGAAAATCATGGAAAATAATTGTTGGAAATATAAAAATCTAAAAATCATGTTTATAATAATCATGGAACAAATTATATGAAACATATTTCCAACAATTCATATAAATTCCCCATATAGTTATCCCACGGTCCTCATATGTTGATCAATTTTTGATCCCGTCCCGCTGGACTTCGCAGGCGACTTCCGCCGTGCCGTGAAGAGCCTGGCCCGCCAGGGGCGCTTGGAGGAGGCGGAGGACAAGAACCGCAAGAGCGCCTCGGCCGCCTCGGACGTCGGTGCTGTTTGAAGCGCCCAGTTTACATGGCGATGTTCACGGCGATGTTGGTTTAAGAACTATATATGTGGTTTATGGATGTTTATGGGGGGATATTGCTATAGGATGATTTATTGAAATCATAGAAAATGATGATTTACTGAGGTTTTATGGTGATTTAATTGGATTTTATGGTAATTTTATGGTGATTTACTGTTGATTTCTGATGATTTCATGAAGTTAAAACCATGGCAAGGATGGTGAAGTTGAATGGGATCTAATCTTGATTTAAAGGTGATTATTGGGATGTTACTCCAAGAAAACTATGAATTCTATGGTGGTGTTACCTCAAGAACTATGGTTTATCGGGGATATTACTATAGTTAAAAGATTAAGTCTAGTGGGATCTGATCATTGAAAATTGTGATTTACTGGGGTTTAATGGTGATTTGATTGGATTTTATGGTGATTTCATGATGATTTAATTGGGGTTGATGTTGATTTACTATGATTTTCTGGGATTTACTGGCGATTTCATGGTGATTTTATGGTGATTTATGGTGATCCACTGGGTTTTGATTTCAGGTGATTTAAGGATGTTTTAATGCAATTTATTTGGATTTAATTGTGATTTATTGGGATTAATTGTGTTTTATTGGGATTTACTTGCGATTTCATCGTGATTTGTTTTTGTGAATTAGTGGGGTTGTATGGTGATTTCTGGTGATTTAAGGATAATTTAATGTACGTAATTTATTTCGATTTAATTGTGATTTACTGTCAATTTCATGGTGATTTTAGGGCGATTTATGACTCGAACAAGAATGTTTGCGCTTCGTGGCCGCGCATCTTGAAGCCGCAAGTAGGATAGGTGTAGGATTACCTATGAGGCAAGGCAGCTCCTGCATTCAATTTATGCTGATGATCAGGAGATTATTGGCACAGTGGGCCAGTGGGCCTCTTGGTTGTCCCAGGGCAATGGGCCAAACTGAGCAACATCTGAGACAAAAGGCACCTGGCAAGGCGTCGGCTTTCAACCTGGACCAGGACCTGCCACCATGGGCGAGCCGAGGTCATACGCAAGGTGGGGCCCTGGAGTGATTTACGGAGCTTTTATGGTGATTTATTTGGATTTATTGGGATTTCCTGGCGGTTTCACCCCTTGTTTTTATGTTAATTTATGGTGACTTACTGGTGTTTGATTGTGATTTTATGGTGATTTAAAGGTGATTTTATGTTGATTTAGTGGTCAATCTATAATGATTTAGTGGGATTTAATTGTGATTTAATTTATTAGGGTTTAATTGTGATTTAATGGGATTTATGGTGATTTTATGGTGTTTTTGTGGTGGTTTATGGTGATTTGTATGGCAATTTCATGAAGTTGAATGGGATCCAATCATGAACATGAATACCACTATGGTAATTTACTGCTACATTGCTGCTACATACTATAACTATGGCAACTATGGTGGGTGAATAGCTTCCAGAATCCCTACAATTATGATGAAATCTAAGCCCACTTATTGATACTTATTGGTGGTACTGCACCCCCAAGAAGTGTAGATAGTATGTTGATGGAAAACATACCGAGTACCCTCTAGTAATCAAAAGTGGCTGGCTGGGACATCCCTGATGAATGATATAAATGGAGATTTTGCCTTTTCTTGGATAGTGAGTGACTGCGGAGAACTGCAAGACCGGCTACTGTATTGAACGATTGTTTTTGATGTTTAAAGCCACAGCTCATAATTGTTGACTGGTTTAGCCTAGTCTTGGGTGCTTAACGTTTTGATAGGTTCTTCAAGTTGTTTGCTTAAATCCATAGTTCTTCATGGTCAATTCCCAATATTCCCCAGTTTTTTTCGTAGTAAAATCCAATATTCTGTGGTGAAATCCACAGTTTTCATCATTTTTCCATGGTATTTTCCCATTTTTCCCGGTAAAAATCCCCATTTTCCACAGCTCCCGGGCTTCGCCGCTTGGGCTTTTCGGCGACGTTGCCGCCGAGGCGCGCGCCGCAGCTGGGCCCAGTGGGTGCGCCTCAGCGGCGCTCACCTGCGCGGCGCGGGGACTGGCGCGGAGGGCTCCAACGCGACGGCGGCGAAAGGCGACAAGGCGACGGCGAAAACGGTGGGTTTAGCCCTGTTGATTATAGGGGACGAATTTATAGAGGTAAACAACAGATAGCATATAGATGTAGATAGGGGATTGCTAAGAGGACTACTATCATAGAGGACTACTAACTACTATAGGGGATTATAGAGGACCCATTGGTTAGCAAATGATAGGGGATTATTAAGAGGACTACTATCATATACTATCCAATTTATTGCTGATGATTTAGCACTTAGAGTTGTCGGAGGAGGAATTGGTCCTTTGACCCATGGAAACGGGGTTGAACAAAAAATATTATGCAAAATCATTGAAACAGTGTTCAAAAACCCCTTGTTTTTTGGGTGATTACATGGGGGTTGTACCATCCAATATTTTTTTCGGATTCTTCACCAGAGGCTTTGATCAATCCCGTGATGAAACTTGTGGGACTGGTGATTAAAATTGTGGAGCCTACATTGTAAGTGATTGTGTTGTGCTTATTGTTTGAGAGATTCAACCATGAATTTTTAAAAATACCAAAAAAGTGGAAAGGCAGGAAAAGGGGATGAGCATCCAGCTATAGAGGCAGTTTTGGCAATGGTACCATGTTGCTCTCCCAATAATGGTGCCATGGGATACTGTACCTGCATGAGTTGGGATACGGGCCCCTATCTTCGAAAGTACAAAGTTGCACTGGCCAGCAATACAATTATATAATGGTAAATGTTTGGGCAATGCAGTGATCTTTTAAAATATGAAACCACATACTTTTTTTGTAACACAAAATCTTACAGCAATTGAACAGTTGGATTCACCCCTTCTCGGAGTATCCATACGCGACATGGTTTCAGCATAGATCACCCCCCATAGAGGGAAGAAACATGCGACAGAACATCCTAAGGCTAGACACTTCAGTATGTTTCTTGATATTTTCTGAGGTTGAGGTTCAATTCTGCAGTGGATACTGCACGGGATCAAGAAATATATACTTCATCCAAGGAAACTCCAAAAACAGTGAAATCTTCCCTGTGGAAAGCTAAAGTTGTAGCTGCAAGCTTGGTGGCTTGGTGTCACTGTTTGTGTCTCCAACATTGATGGTAACAGCAAGACCGCGGGTGGCATCCTCCTGAAAAAAAAACACCCATGGATCTGCATCTTGTTTCGCAAATGCATAATGACCAGGCTAGCTCACCCAGTTGCAGGATATACTACCCAAGTTATGAATCACCAGATTATGACCCAGTTATATGTGGAAGATTCCCCAGACTATTTTCATCACTTATCACCACTTCCCAGTGGGCTCCCCCCCGTCGTCGCTCCGGCGTAGGCTTCGCACAACTCCAAGTCCTTGGTGCTCAGCGACCACGGCGCCGCTCGGACTGGACCGGCTTCGGTTTGGGCTTCAGGTCCTTCTGGTCCTTCGGGTCCTTCACTGTGCGAGTCTGACCAGTGACCCTAATGAATCATGGTTCACTTATAGTTTGGTTCGAACGTTTGGTTCACTATGGTTAACTATCAGCATCTATCAACTATGATTTCTGGTAAATATCTCCGTAGTGAGCTTTATAAATCAACAAACACAAAATCCGGCGGGCACCGTGTAGGACCTGGATGTTTCTTTTTTTTGGGGAGGGGAACTACCACAGGCAAGTCTGAATACCCTCATTTACACATTTACAAATGTTGGCTTCAGCAAAAATGTGATTCCGGTTGATGGGCCACAGAATCACATGTTCAGTTCTCCCCCGCCCACTTGCAGCTGAAACTGGCACTTTCGACCAGCAGGTTCATCCCAAAGTCAGCCAAGATCGCTACTCCCACCTAATCGGGCCTCAAAATTGGCTTTATGTGTCTAAGTTCCCACACCTGTTTGGAATGAAGCCCACTTGACAAGCATATTTCTGGGATGGTGATCGGTTACGTGTTGCATTGTTGACCAATTGTATCGTACCTGCTGAACATGCCCCACCATATTCCAGCACCCGTTGATGATGCCAAAATTGGTAAACCCGACAACAAATTTTGCCGATTCACCCAATCATACAATTTGTGGTATATTGAAAACCGTCCCAAAAGATACTCACCTCCCAATCAAGAATGGGATGGAAGTAGAACAGCTACTAAACTAAAATTTATCTAAGAAGAACATTTCCTAGAGGAACCATAATTTGTTTGTATCTTTGTTCACCTTAGGATAATCGGATACACCAAGACTACCCTGCAACAGCGGTCCCAGGGGAATGAGACGCAGCTGGTACCTCCACTGGAGTGGCTGGACAGTGGCGATGCCACGCAACTGGCTCTGGTGTTACCTGGCGGTCGGCACAGAAACGGTGCCTCCGGAGATTGGAACTTCACCGAAGATGAAAGATATACTGATATACATATAAGCCCAATAATCTGGTATGATGTATGATAATGGTATAATAATGGTATGACCATGTATACCCATGGTATACGTATAGTATGGTATGAATTGAATATGTATGAATATGTATGAATAACCCAATTAATAATGGTATAACACTATAACATATACATATATATATATATGCGTGTAAGCTGTGATATTGGGTTGTCCAAACATGGGGTATGCCATTCAAAACCTCATGGTTGATCTCGGTTTTCTTTTCAAACCCAGATATTGACTGAGCTCCTGGAGCTTAGGTCGAAGAGGGCCTAAGTTGACCAATGCTTTTGGGACTGGTTGAACGACTTGGCTCGGAATTGTGAGATCTCTGCAATAAGTTGGAAGGGGGTTGAAAAACCATGGAAAAATCATGGCGGGGATGAAGATCATGAACATCCATCTGCTTGATGTCCACAGCACTTCTTTCTTCACCATGCAGGACTACAGTTCATCAAATCATCAAATCCATTGGTTCATCCATTGGTTGATCCTAGTCCCATCTGCCATCAAGCTATGATGATCCGTGATGATCCCATAGATCCCATTGTTTTCCGCAGCCTGGTGGCTCCGTTAGCCCATCCAAGAGACACTGTACCACCGCAATCAAACATGGCTGTGGAAGATTCCACTTTAGAGTTCGATGATTTCTCAGCTTTAATGAAACATTATTTATAGTTATCTGGTTGGTGGTTTGGAACATTTGGATTATTTTCCATATATTGGGAATGTCATCATCCCAACTAACTGACTATGTTGTTGTTTTTTTCAGAGGGGTAGGTCAAGCACCAACCAGTTATTAAACATCATTGAGGATTTTCAACTGCCATTTTGGATTCCCGAAGATTGGAAGCAAATCGAGCATGCTTTGTCTCCCTGGTACCCTGAATCTGATCAGACCAAATTCCTCACTCTGCGTGGAATCCAGGTTCAACGTCATGAAGCATTCGCCCTTCTTGATGGATGCTCGGATAAACAAGTGTGCACCAATTGTGGTTATGCAACCCACATGTCCTGTGCCTTCCAAGGCCTTACTTTGGAGGGCTTTTGTTTTTGACGCCCTCTTAAGTATGTCCAGGATACGTGTTCCAAAGGATATGAGTTTCATCCAAGTGGGAAACACACCATTTTTTATTGTCAGTTTAACGGGGGAACATCATGATACCCAGCCACCCAGCATGAGATAACTGGCCCATCTCCAGTCACTGGGTCATCCACCCTGGCCTGGCTTAGTTGCTTAAAATGGCTTTGTCTAATTAAATAGTGTAGCCCTACACCCAATGGCTCCCAATGGTTAATGATCACTATCCCATATTATCCCTACACCCAATGGCTAGTCCAATGGCTATAATTGGGGGTATAGCCCATTTCCAGACATATCCAAACAAACATTGTAGCTACGAATTGTCTAGTAAACCCAAAACATCCACCAGTTTGACATGTGTTGACATATTTTGACATATATGTTGACCCATTTAGTTGTTTTTTTGGTTGGACCATATATATATATGTATATATATATTTGCATGTGCTGCTAACCAACCAATCATGTTGTTTCAATTCTTATTTTTTCACATTACGAGTTCCGTTCCAGTAATTGGCTGGTTTAGATCAGCACCATGATTACTTTTGTTGGTGGATGTTTGCTGGTTGGCTAAAGAGCCTGGTGATCCCCGAGAAATCGGGTTGGTCAAGATACTTGTAGATCTGTGATCCGATTTGATGTTTGTAGATCTCTGAAGTCCACATGTTTTCATCTTGGATCGATTATCTGGTTGGTGGTTTGGAATATGGTGGTTAATAGTGATGGTTGATAGTGGTTTTCATAGGCTACAAACCAACAATGGGAATATGATGGTGATCTGGTTGGTGGTTTGGAACATGTTTTATTTTCCATATATGGGAAAAAATACTCCCATTTGACTCATATGTTTCAGAGGGGTAGGTCAACCACCAACTGGTTATGATTTTCGATGATTTTCCTATGGTTTCCTAAGATACACCGTGGTTGCTATTTAACTTTTGCATTGTGTGTTTGTTAAACGATTGTCATTTTTTGTTCGAAACTTCATGTTTGCTGGTGATCTCCTCATGTTCCTGGATGAGTCATGATTTTCCTAGAACAAAAAAGCACATCTTGAACTGTTTTCCCAAGAAAATAACCACCATGTTCTTATATGTTTCTTCGGAAATTCCACCATGTTCATGTTTCACAGCGTAAATTCCACCATTTTCACCATGATTTTCCAAGGGAAACCGCAGCAGTTTCCCCAGCCCAGCACCCCCAGCACCCCCGCCCCGAGGAGTTCTATCTCCACGCCCTGGTCTTGCCCAGTTTGTTGCGCCACGCTGATGCCAAGTTGTCAGCCAATGGACAGGACTTGGGCGGTGAGGTGCGTCGCGGTGCGCGTCGCGTCGCGTTGAAGTGAGAAAAAATGCTGGAGAAACCATCTAGAAATGGTTCATCTATGGTTAATATATGGATAATCTATGGTTAATGGTTAATGGTTAATAGTTACCCTCTGGTAAACAAACAGTTTGCTATTGAACATGGCCATAGAAATAGTGGATTGTCCAATTAAAAATGGTGGATCTTTCCATAGCTATGTTAGTTTACCAGAGGGTAGCAACAATGCCTTTTTTTCCCCATGGTGCTGGTATATTGATCTACAGTTGGGTGATTTTGTTTGGGCAAATGTTGGTAACTATTCCAGCAGCATGGAGCATTTGGTTTTGATTAATCACTAATAGTGATATAGCAACAATATAGTGCTTAACACTTAATACTTACTAGTTTTAACTGGTAAATTGAACTATATTGGTGAATAGTTAGTTACTAAAATATTTATTATAGTGTTAATAAGACTATGATAATGGTGACTGTATGTGTATATATATATAATTATTTAATTATTTATTTATTTAATTATTTATTTATTTAACACCTTATTGATCAATAGTAATCACTAATAGTTATATAGCAACAATGGGTGAAATGTTGTGTTGATGTTCTAACAATGGCTGTGATCGAATCATATTTAATCACTAATAGTGATATAGCAAGAATATAGTGATTAATAGTGATGATGATGTTGAATATCACGGTTAAAGAATGGTGCTATAGCATGATATAGCAACACGGGTTAAATAAGCAAATCCATGGTAAAGAAAGGGATCTAACCAAGAGAAAACAGGGATTTGTATGGATTTATATTGATTTCTAGTGTTTTTATATCATAGCTAAGAGAGCTAAGTTGGTTTAGTTCAATAGCTTCAACCTATGGTGGACGTCTTCAGACTTGCGAAGAGGATGACTGTGGCCTGAAGACCCATTCGCCCACTCCGCAAAGTGGTGGTGGCACATTCTCAGCCGCATAGCCGGTACAGCCGGTACAGGTCCCTGCGCCATGCAGCCACAAGGTGGGGGGGGGAAGCTTTGTTCGGACCCTGTTGTGTAGAACGCCACTATGCCAAAATTTCAGGGGTAATGTCAGGCCACAGGCCTGAGCTTGTCTGGCGATCTTGTTCCTGACCTGCCAGTGGACGCTAGGGGCTGATGAGCACTGCAAGACCTTTCTCTCCTTGCCTTGCACATGACGGCTCCATAGCCTGAAGCAGATGGGTTTATTTGACTTGAGTGGCTGGTGATTTCTTAAGGTGTCCCTGTCTAATCAATGGAAACAGCGGATATGAATAGGGAATGATGAAATATACCTGTAGTTGTACGTAAATATACCAGTAGTACCCGCACGAGGCGGGGCGGAAGTTGCCTTAAAGATATATATATATATATATAAGACCTTTCTCATCTATAGAACTTGCATGCGCCGTGCGCCAGCCAAGCCCGTGCGTGCGTGCACTCTGCGAAAGTGGTGTCCTGTTTCACATGTCACATTTGAAGCTCCACTTCGCCCTTCACACGTCTCACTGCACTCTTCACACTCCACACTGCACACTTCACACTTCACACTCCACACTTCTCACTTCACACTGCACTCTTCCCAATCCACACTTCACACTTCACTGCACGCTTCCCACTGCACACTCCACACTTCCCACTGCACACTCCACACTTCACACTTCACACTCCACACTTCACACTTCACACTCCACACTTCACACTCCACACTCCACACTTCACACTGCACTCTTCACGCCCCACACTTCACACTGCACTCTTCACACTCCACACTTCATCTCATCTGAGCTCTTCTCACCTTATCCCAGCTCATCTCTTCTCATCTCATCTCTTCTCATATGTCACCTAAGCTTTCATGAATCACTTCCCAGTACTTCTACTAAGGAACTGGATCTCGACGCCAAAGCGACAAAAAGACGATTTTGAAGCACTTTTTAAAAGGAATGCAGCATGCAGCCGGTGCACCCATCCTGTTCTGATTCGCATTCCCCAGTTTCTTCACAAACTTTGAATTCCTTATTGTGACATTTTTTTACCATACCTTTTTTTTGCTTGACAAATCACTTTCGCAGCCTTGATGCAGCCATTCCAATACGATTTACAATCTTCAGCTGCAAAAGACAATAGTATTACGCATGCAGCCGCTGCGCCAAGCAACCTTGACGCAGCCACTACAATGCGATCTGCAGAGACTGAGTTGCAAAACACAATAGAACTACGTGCAATGGCCTCCGAAATTGCAGCTCCAAAACCGGATCTCGACGCCAAAGCGACAAAAAGACGATTTTGAAGCACTTTTTAAAAGGAATTTTTAAAGGAAAATTATTAGCGCCAAAATTGAGAAAATCTGCTGACAATTCACTTTCGCAGCCTTGATGCAGCCATTCCAATACGATTTACGATCTTCAGCTGCAAAAGACAATAGTATTACGCATGCAGCCGCGGCACCAAGCAACCTTGACGCAGCCATTACAATGCGATCTGTGGAGACTGAGTTGCAAAGCGCAATAGAACTATGTCGGAAACTGCAGCTCCAAAACCGGATCTCGACGAAAAAAAGACGATTTTGAAGCACTTTTTCAAAGGAGTTTTGAAAGGAAAATTAGTAGCGCCAAAATTGCGACAATCTTCTGACAAATCACTGTCGCAGCCTGGATGCAGCCACTCCAATACGATTTACAATCTTCAGCTGCAAAAGACGATAGTATTACGCATGCAGCCGCGGCACCAAGCAACCTTGACGCAGCCATTACCATGCGTTTCGCAGCATCACGTCGCAAACCTGCACGTATCTACACACATAACAACACCAGAACACCAAATGACAACAGTCATGCAGCCATTCCAATGCGATCTGCCACCGGAGATTCCAAAACACCCTATAACTACGCACACACAAGCACACCCAAAGCAACTTGAAGCCACCGTTAAAATGCGGCAAAAAAAAAAGGCAAACCGACCGCAGCCGCACCCGCCGCACAGACGAGGTATACCTTTCATCGTCGCCTGCAGCCACTTTACACGGAAAAACACAAGGTTTCGTGCTCCGGCTTCCTCCCCAAAACAGAGCCCTTGCAACATCATGCAGCCATTCCAATGCGATCTGCAAGCACAGATTCCAAAACACCCTATAACTACGCACACACAAGCACACCCAAAGCAGCTTGAAGCCACCGTTACACTGCGGCAAAAAAAAAAGGCAAACCGACCGCAGCCGCACCCGCCGCACAGACGAGGTACCTTTCATCGCCGGCTGCAGCCACTTTACACGGAAAAACACAAGGTTTCGTGCTCCGGCTTCCTCCCCAAAACAGAGCCCTTGCAACATCATGCAGCCATTCCAATGCGATCTGCAAGCACGGATTCCAAAACGCCCTATAACTACGCACACACAAGCACACCCAAAGCAGCTTGAAGCCACAGTTACAATGCGGCAAAAAAAAAAGGCAAACCGACCGCAGCCGCACCCGCCGCACAGACGAGGTACCTCTCATCGCCGGCTGCAGCCACTTTACACGGAAAAACGCAAGGTTTCGTGCTCCGGCTTCCTCCCGAAAACAGACCCTTGCAACATCATGCAGCCATTCCAATGCGATCTGCAAGCACAGATTCCAAAACACCCTATAACTACGCACACACAAGCACACCCAAAGCAGCTTGAAGCCACCGTTATAATGCGGCAAAAAAAAAAGGCAAACCGACCGTAGCCGCACCCGCCGCACAGACGAGGTACCTTTCATCGCCGGCTGCAGCCACTTTACACAGAAAAACACAACGTTTCGTGCTCCGGCTTCCTCCCCAAAACAGAGCCCTTGCAACATCATGCAGCCATTCCAATGCGATCTGCAAGCACGGATTCCAAAACACCCTATAACTACGCACACACAAGCACACCCAAAGCAACTTGAAGCCTCCGTTACAATGCGGCAAAAAGAAAAGGCAAACCGACCGCAGCTGCACCCGCCGCACAGACAAGGTACCTTTCATCGCCGGCTGCAGCCACTTTACACGGAAAAACACAAGGTTTCGTGCTCCGGCTTCCTCCCCAACTCACCACTTCCCTTCCTCACCGCTTCCCATCGTCACCACTTCCCATCGTCACCACCTCCCTTCGTCCACTTCCCTTCCTCACTACTTCCCTTCCTCACCACTTCCCATCGTCCCCACCTCCCTTCCTCACCATTCCCCTTCATCATCACCTCCCTTCGTCACCACTTCCCTTCGTCACCACTTCCCTTCGTCACCACTTCCCTTCGTCACCACTTCCCTTCGTCACCACTTCCCTTCGTCACCCCTTCCCTTCGTCACCACTTCCCTTCGTCACCACTTCCCTTCGTCACCACTTCCCTTCGTCACCACTTCCCTTCGTCACCCAATTCCACCGCTTCAATGTCCTTCATCAAGGTCAATTCCACCGCTTCTTCTTCTTGTGTTATGTATTGTTATGTTATGTAGTTATGTATTGTTATGTGCTCTACCAATTGTTATGTTATGTAGTTATGTATTGTTATGTGCTCTACCACCCTTCATCAAGGTCAATTCCACCGCTTCTTATTCTTGTGTTATGTACTGTTGTGTTATGTATTGTTATGTGATCTACCACCCTTCATCAAGGTCAATTCCACCGCTTCTTATTCTTTTGTTGTGTATTGTTATGCATGTATTGTTCTGTGATCTACCACCCTTCATCAAGGTCAATTCCACCGCTTCTTATTCTTTTGTTATGTATTGTTATGCTATGTATTGTTAGATCACGTACCACCCTTCATCATAGTCAATTCCATCAAGTAAAAGTCATTCGTAACTCGGAAGTATTGCTTCCCAACTTCCTTTGATAATCGTGTATACATACAGTACATTGAACAGTATGTGTATCAAACAGATATAACTAGCTAATGTTGACTTGGTTACTTTTTGTTTTATGTTACATAGTCCCATTGACCCAGAGCAGCAAATTGCCACAACAGCAGCAAA